CTTTTTTTTTCATGAAAAGTTGTGCTCTATTTTGTTTCATGAAAGGTTGTGACTTTTTTTTTATTCTCTACATGTATCCAGTTACCCTATTTTAATAAGTAAACATATTTTCACACTGTTTAGCACATACTTCACTTTCCTATGATAGTGAAGACCAAATAAGAACCCAACATAACTATACCTAGATGCAGGGTGTCCAAATGAGGACCTAATGAGAAGTTACAGGTGCATAATGATACAATTAAATGGGGTTTAATGAATGTTGAAAATATTTGAGTAGACCGCTTGCAATGTAGTATGTTATTGGTGACACCCAAGTGGCAGACCTAGTTCGTGGCAAGTTGATGTTCCAGGAGGGATAAAGCAAATGGCAAATAATTTAAGTAAATTTTAAAAATGGTCACTTAATGTGGGTAAGTGCAAGATAATGCATATTGTGCGTAAAAACCCAAGGGCAGAGTATAAAATGTTCGATACCCTACTAACCTCAACATGTGAGGAAAGGGATTTAGGGGTGATTATTTCAGATGACTTAACGGTAGGCAGACAATGTAATAGAGCAGCAGGAAATGCTAGCAGAATGCTTGGTTGTACAGGGAGTGCAGAATTATTAGGCAAATGAGTATTTTGACCACATCATCCTCTTAATGCATGTTGTCTTACTCCAAGCTGTATAGGCTCGAAAGCCCACTACCAATTAAGCATATTAGGTGATGTGCATCTCTGTAATGAGAAGGGGTGTGGTCTAATGACATCAACACCCTATATCAGGTGTGCATAATTATTAGGCAACTTCCTTTCCTTTGCCAAAATGGGTCAAAAGAAGGACTTGACAGGCTCAGAAAAGTCAAAAATAGTGAGATATCTTGCAGAGGGATGCAGCACTCTTAAAATTGCAAAGCTTCTGAAGCGTGATCATCGAACAATCAAGCGTTTCATTCAAAATAGTCAACAGGGTCGCAAGAAGCGTGTGGAAAAACCAAGGCGCAAAATAACTGCCCATGAACTGAGAAAAGTCAAGCGTGCAGCTGCCACGATGCCACTTGCCACCAGTTTGGCCATATTTCAGAGCTGCAACATCACTGGAGTGCCCAAAAGCACAAGGTGTGCAATACTCAGAGACATGGCCAAGGTAAGAAAGGCTGAAAGACGACCACCACTGAACAAGACACACAAGCTGAAACGTCAAGACTGGGCCAAGAAATATCTCAAGACTGATTTTTCTAAGGTTTTATGGACTGATGAAATGAGAGTGAGTCTTGATGGGCCAGATGGATGGGCCCGTGGCTGGATTGGTAAAGGGCAGAGAGCTCCAGTCCGACTCAGACGCCAGCAAGGTGGAGGTGGAGTACTGGTTTGGGCTGGTATCATCAAAGATGAGCTTGTGGGGCCTTTTCGGGTTGAGGATGGAGTCAAGCTCAACTCCCAGTCCTACTGCCAGTTCCTGGAAGACACCTTCTTCAAGCAGTGGTACAGGAAGAAGTCTGCATCCTTCAAGAAAAACATGATTTTCATGCAGGACAATGCTCCATCACGCGCGTCCAAGTACTCCACAGCGTGGCTGGCAAGAAAGGGTATAAAAGAAGAAAATCTAATGACATGGCCTCCTTGTTCACCTGTTCTGAACCCAATTGAGAACCTGTGGTCCATCATCAAATGTGAGACTCCCAAAAATATTCAGCTTTGATATTAATGAGTTTTTTGGGTTCATTGAGAACATGGTTGTTGTTCAATAATAAAATTAATCCTCAAAAATACAACTTGCCTAATAATTCTGCACTCCCTGTATAGGGAGAGGCATTAGCAGTAGAAATAGAGAAATGCTCATGCTATTGTACAGAACACTGGTGAGACCTCACTTTGAGTATTGTACACAGTACTGCAGACTGTATCTTCAGAAGGATATTGATACTTTGGAGAGAGTTCAGAGAAGGGCTACTAAACTGGTTCATGGATTGCAGGAAAAAACTTACCAGGAAAGGTTAAAGGATCTTAACATATATAGCTTGGAGGAAAGACGAGACAGGGGGGATATGATAGAAACATTTAAATACATAAAGGGAATCAACACAGTAAAGGAGACTATATTTAAAAGAAGAAAAACTACCACAACAAGAGGACATGGTCTAAATTAGAGGGGCAAAGGCTTAAAAATTATTTCAGGAAGTATTACTTTACTGAGAGGGTAGTGGATGCATTAAAAGCCTTCCAGCTGAAGTGATAGAGGTTAACACAGTGAAGGAGTTTAAGCATGCATGGGCTAGGCATATGGCTATCCTAGACTTAAGATAAGGCCAGAGACTAATTAAAAGTATTTCGAAAATTGGGCAGACTAGATGGGCCAAATTGCTCTTATCTGCCATCACATTATATGTTTCTATGTCTTGATTTGAAGTGTAAAAATAACATATTTAGTAGAGGGCCATGAATATGTCAGTATAACCATAGAACAGGCATAATTATGACCAACATTAAGTCAATGTACACTTGACCAGGTCTGTGCAATACCCAGAAAGGGCTTAAACAGTGTAAGTAGTGTTGGACAGTGAAATAAGATTAACAGGCAGTACCATAAATGCTAACCATATGTAGAGGCCCATATAGCCATATAATTATTAGTGCCTGAATACCCAGATGGCAGACATATAGAATACATATAGGTACTGAAGCTACAAGAGGCCTGGTGAACATAAGTGACAAATGCTGATCTGCTCAAATCTGATAAGTATAACCAAGGCCGTATGGGCCGACAATAATAATCTGCAAATATGAAAAACTAAATATATGGCATAGCATTAATTAAACATTATAATGCAGGGTGACTAAATGAATTGCATATGTTAAAATTAATATGACCAAATGAGGGCCAAATACAGTTAACAGAATGCACAAACCTAATTAAGGCATCACTATGATGCTATGTATGATTAAAATAGGCCAAATTCGCGTTAGTAGTGAAAATCGCCATATCCGAATAAGGGCAGAATACGGACTGAACTGTGAATGTCACCCTAGTTAGTGAAAGGCTGAACATGGGATGAATTAATGTTGAATGTCAGGAACAGAGTGGCCCAATGAGAGCTGAAAATAAAAACAAACGGTTTTGTTGTAATAAATGCGCTAACAGCAACAGGAAAAGCCGCAGCTGGGCTAGACGCGGCAGTGTCCCATGAGCTTTGAAGGTAGCGGCTGTTTTTTACTCAAGTGAGGTAAAATGAATACTTGCGTTGGCTGCACAGGACCAACACCACCTTATTTGGAGTTTAGGCAGTTTGTGTTGATGACCTTTGAACCGGAAGTAGATGGATCTCTACTGAACCAGACAATCTCAGCCCAGAGGAAGGAGAGGTCTTTGTATTTATAGGCTGGACAAGTCCTCCCACATATACAGGTTGAGCCTTTAGGCGATATATATATGCACACACCAGTCAAGCCATACAACTTGTTTTTCCAACAGAAATCTCAAATTTGCAGTGATGTTACTACTGCAAGGGATTCTGGTTGGGCATATGCAAATGAGTACAACAAAGTATCACATTTTTGCCTCATTCCATCTTAAACATGGATTCCTAGGAGTTTATGTTTGCCGTATACAACAGAAACATAGAATGTGATGGCAGATCAGAACTATTCGGCCTATCTAGTCTGCCCAATTTTTTAAATACTTTCATTAGTCCCTGGCCTTATCTTATAGTTAGGATAGCCTTATGCCTATCCTACACATACTTAAAATCATTCACTGTGTTAACCTCTACCACTTCAGCTAGAAGACTATTCCATGCATCCACTACCCTCTCAGTAAAGTAATATTTCCTGATATTATTTTTAAACTTTTTCCCCTCTAATTTAAAACTCTGTCCTCTTGTGGTAGTTTTTCTTCTTTTCAATATGGTTTTCTCCTTTACTGTGTTGATTCCCTTTATGTATTTAAGGTTTTTATCATATCGCCCCTGTCTTGTCTTTCCTCCAAGATATACAGCTTTGAAACACAACTCTGGAATAGATACAAAGCCAGTGAACCACTCATGGACAACTGTTTCGTTGTTAATGCAACTCATCAGCATGAGGTTGGTTACTTGCTTGCTATTGAGGCTTGGCGTTATGTGTGTGCACGCGCGTGTGTGTGTGTCATGAATATAACCATTTTTTGGGGGGGAAAGAAAAGGTCTGGTTATGCATTAACTGTCTGATTTTGTGTACCTATATCAAATGATGCTTGTCCATTCAGGTATGTTACTAGAGCCAAAAATGCTTCTGCATAAATATATAATGTGGTCACCTTAAATAGCAGATCTATACAGATTATAGCATACCTTCACTGTGAATGGATATTATATATCACAAAGAACATAAACCATGCTATAAAAATTACAGGCCTCCCAACTGTCCGTGGTTCTGTGTACTGTGGTTCCTGTTTCGCCGGACCTTGTAGATTCCTTGGTGTCTTGCATTTGAGGACATCATGGAACCTCTATCAATTCACATAATCTGAACATATCATATGACAGGTTTCCCTCAAAACAGCTGGTCAGAGTGGGGCTGGTCAAAGTCTATTAGCAAGCCTGGTATTTATTCACTCCAGCTAAATATACCCTTTTTCAGATGTCCCTTTGCGCATCATCAGTGATGCCAATCATATCACTGGCACAGACCCTATAGGCCCACCACCCTCTGTTCCTATGTCAAAATCCAATGTTAAGAGGTATGCTGTTATCTAGAACACCTACTGTGATTGTTACCCTTTAAAACTGTAGTATAGTGATATCTCTGTAAAAGTTGTGAATTATATATTAAAACTATAATTATTATTATACTATTTGTGAGCATATAAAAAACGTGCTGTTGTTGGTAAAATCCACGATTTATTGATAGACTTGCAGTCACACTTATTTACGCTAACACATTTTTTAAATTAATGTTGTGACTTTGTTGGAAGAGTCTACCACCTTCACACAATTGGGAAGGATTATTTCTTTCTCAGATGACAACACAGGGGGTCTTCAAGCTGACTGAGCAAAGCCAACTCTATTATTGCTCATGTCATAGACAGAGTAATACTGCCTTAGGAAAACATCTCCCAGAATCCAGAGGGGCTGTCCGTTTTGGGATGGGAGATATGTAACCTCAACACCGACTGTGCAGTAGCCATTATTCTGAAAGTAAAAAAAGAAGGGTTTTGTAACATTGAAGTACAAACATGAAGGAAAGTTACTCGAAAGAATGTATGTTTCACATTTGATTCATATTTAAAAATGTCAACCTTAAAAGATGCCGTCACTCAGGGCCGCCATCATTGGGTGACAACCATGACTGTTGTCACGGGCCCGGCGTCCCTGGGGGCCCGGCCGCCCAGGCCCCACGTGGAGCGCCGAAACTGGCGCAGGTGCATCTGCACGTGGGCCAATCAGTTGGCCCAAGCATTTAGGGCCATCCGATGAGCCCATCATCCCCAGCCACCCTCCTGCAACCTTAAAGGTAAGGAAGAGGAGGGTGGCTGATAAATGAGGTGTGTGTGTGTATGTATGTCTTTGTGTTTGTGTGTATGTATGTCTGTATGTATGTATGTCTGTATATATCTATCAGTATGTATGTGTGTATGTATGTCAGAATGCATGTATGTCTGTGTATATGTATGTATGTCTGTGTGTATGTATGTCTGTGTGTATGTCTGTATGTATCTATCAGTATGTATGTGTGTATGTATGTCAGTATGCCTGTCTGTATGTCTGTGTGTATGTATGTCTGTGTCTATCTGTATGTGTGTGTATGTCAGAATGTATATATGTCTGTGTGTGTGACAGTATGTATGTGTGTATGTATGTCAGTATGCATGTATGTGTGTGTGTATGTGTCTGTATGTATGTGTGTGTGTGTGTATGTATGTGTGTGTGTCTGTATGTATGTATGTCTGTGTGTGTATGTCAGTATGTATGTTTGTGTGTGTATCTCAGTATGTCTGTATGTATCTGTGTATGTATATTTCTATCTGTATGTGTGTGTATGTCTGTATGTATTTATATCAGTATGTATGTGTATGTATGCCATTATGTATGTATGTATGTCAGTATGTATTTATGTGTATGTATGTATGCCTGTATGTCAGTTTGTCAGTATGTGAGTATGTATGTATGTCAGAGTGTGTGTCTGTATGTCAGTATGTGTGTGTATCTGTATCTCCTTATGCATGTGTCTGTATATGTGTCTATGTCTGTTTCAGTATTTGTGTCTGTTAGTATGTGTGTATCTTTCTGTTTGTGTGTCTGTCCTTTTGTGTCTGTGTGTGTGTATTTCTGTGGGCGGGATTTGGAGGCGGCACCCGGGGGCCCAGACCTTGAGCTGTGTTAGGGGCCCCACAATTTCTAATGGCTGCCCTGCCATCACTATTGCTACCTTATTGTAAGCATTGTCCTCACCAACCTTTTGTTCCTTTTTAAATTTGCAATAGTTTGCCTCATCTGTTGTTAAATTCACCTTTAATCATATTGTAAAGCAATGTGGAATTAATTGATGCTACCTAAATGTCAATAATAATTTCTGCTTTACAAAGTACCAGTAACATTACATTGTTTATGATAACTGCTGTACGTGGTGGTGTAATCAAGCGAAGTACAATAGCGAACACTGAGTGTGGTAGGTTTACGTTTGTTAAGGGTTTGGGGCACTTACACTTCGTGGAAGTTAGGGAGTGCCTGTTTTCAAAAGGCTGTAGACCTTAACTCGCATGCTTCTCAGACATGAGAAGCACCAAGCCTAACACCTAGTCTCACAAACATTAATATTTACCTCTCTGACCATACCCTAGCCACCATATTAACAACTAAAAAAAACTATTCTGAACTGTACATAATACAGATCACCTATTCACTCTACTTAAATCAAATCTTCCAGACTGTAAGCTCTTTTGAGATGGGTCCTCATCAACCTTTGGTTCCTGTAACATTTTGTAAGTGACTCATATATTGTCAAATTATAATATTGTAGAGCGCTAAGGAATATCTTGGCACTATATAAATGATGATAATATCTATTTTTACATACAATACACTCATGTATCTCTTTAGTAGCACTACATGCACATAGTATCTAACAACTACTCAAAGTACCATGTACAAAACCTCCCTTACTGTTAAAACCTACTCATAAAACCTGCTACAATTTCAACATAACCAATTGCAATATATTGTTCTTTGTGTGTGATTGTCACTATAAATTTTGCATATTGCCCTATAAGTGTCACAATGTGAAACCACTCCGCACCTTGACTTTTTTAAAAACATGCGCTACAAATTATGATGAGTACCTGAAGGATGTATCCAGAAGGTGGAATAGGGAACTGCACCCCGTTGATGGTGAAACTGATTGAAGGCAGGTTCTGTACATTGTTACAGTTCACCAGAAACTAAGAAGAAAATATATAATTAAATTCCAAACTGTGCATTTTGTTATTCAACGATATTACTATAGTGAAGAGTTTGTTCACTGGAAAGGACTCTTTCTAAAGTCTTTTATTGAGTGCTAGAAGATGAATATTCATGATGGAAGCCAATGGAATGTTCACACTGATTTGGCTTCCACAATTTATCCACAGCCCATTATTTATTAGTTACAACTAGTACTACCTTTGCCAAATGTGTTCTGATTCCTCCACCTAGCCGCTTTGATGTCCATCATTTGGCAAATTTCATGCCAATGACCTGATCGCCCTTGGGAACACTTTTGACAAATTTCTTCTCAACAATTCCTAATTCTGATACTAAACTAAAGATTTTATTTTTTATTTTTGCTCTCCCTAAGGTAAAAGGGTAATACAAATGTGGACCCCTTGCTCACTCTGCCTTGAGAAGTATCACAGACAAGGCCTAACAAGGTCAAAATGATTGTCTGGGGTTGCTGTATCTCTCGTGCAGAGAGAGACAGCCTGCACTTTTAAGGCTTTAGGTTCTCTTTGTAATGTCACAACATGACCTAAAACCTGTAATCATACATGATTAAGGCCTCACGGTTGAAGCGTCGTATCTTTGTTTTGTCTTTTGGACCATAATTAAATGTACCTTACTCTTCACCTTGCACTGTGTAGCCTGTGGCTCTATACTTCTGGATTTATATTGGCGGCTAGCTGACCTCCCCCACAGAGCTCCAGTGCATCAAGATACTAGTGTGCAGCACTCTATTACCTGGTTAAAACAAATACCTTGTTTTTTTTTGGCTGATACTAAGCAATTTTTATCCCTGTTCCAAGAAATTTGTTTATATCCCATTAATGAAATAATTGAAATGGATGATAAAATCTATATACATTATTGATCTTTTTCTCAATCTCATTCAATAGTGTGCACTCCCTTATAGAGTTGATACTTTAAACAGACAATATCGGAGAGGGTGTTTAAAGTAGTACAAAAAAATTTTAATGTGATTTTACTAAGTTAACCAATATCGGAGAGGGTGTTTAAAGTAGTTCATAAATTAGGAGTTGTCTATAATGTCCACTTACTTCTCCATTCTGCCCCTGCTGTGCTCCTAGGTAATTTAGAAAAGTTCCCATATACTGTTGAGGGACAGTAAGAGGAGAGGTTCCAGTGTCTACAATGGCTTGGCAGCCCTGACTACACCATCCAGTTGCCTGTCCATTTACGGAAAACCTACAAAAAAGATATATTTGGGAAAAACAAATTTCAAAGCCAATTGGTGTTATCTAGCGTGAAGATTTTCTTGAAAGGAGGGAATTAGTAACTTCCTCGTTCATATAAAATTAGCCTGACAACAGAATTAATTAAAGGGTCACTCCAGACCCCTAAACAAATTTAGCTTGCTGAAAAGCTTTATATGAGTCTGCGCTAAAAGTTCAGATTTCAATAGAAATTTACACTTTTATAAATTAACCTGGTTACACCCCTTGGATTCCAAGCAGACAACAGGTAATGCTAATTCCTGTTTTGGTTAGCTCAATGCAGCTGACCTCGAGGCAGCAATTGCCCAGAGCACCTGACTTGCAAAAACTTCTCGGTCTCTGATTGGACAGCCACAGAAAGTCTGGGCAGTGTTAGAATGTTGTAAGCTTGCAAAGGCAGCAGACAAGAGAACTGTAGATTTTACAAGCTGTTTTTATTACTAAACTGAATTTTACTTATTTTGTATTTGGGCAGTGGAGTGTCTCTTTAAATGCAATATAATAACAGGCCAGGTCTTTATTCTTGACAATAAGGTTTAGTATACAAGTTTATTCCCTGTCAGGCAAAAGTAAAGTTTGCAGACCGAGCTGGATTTTTTGAAAAATCAGCACTATATAGTTTCCCATTTTAATAACTGTCTGATGTCCATTTTTGTTTTATTTCCTTTTTTAAGTTTTGATATGAATATAAGCCATTATTACTGCTTAAATTCCCATCCCAGCAAACATTGCTGGGTGAATTGGTTTTACTAAGATGTGATGAAATGTCAGTGATGCATAGCTTTCTGTTTCTTTGTTATGTAATCTCCTAAAGCAGGGATGCTCAAAAGGTATTTCCCCCAGGTGTTTTAGAACCACAGTTTTCATCCACAATGGTTTGCCATTTAAATGCTACCAAAATATCATGGGCGTTGTAGTATTATAACATCTGGGGATATACATTTTGAGGAAAACTGGGAGCTGGCTTCCTTGGCATTTGGATTCAGCAAGGGTTGCTCTTCTTTGGCTTAATTCCCTGACCGAATTTCCTTCTAAGGCTGTTTCCACTTATGTGTAACATCCACAAATAATGTCTAAATGGCCATTGCACAGGATGATAGTGCAAGTCTAGTGAAAGATAACAGGGTTATTCACTAAACTATGAATTTTTACTAATTAAATCAAAATTGCAAAACTAAAGCATAAATAGACTGGCTAAATTGGAGAATTTTTTAATATCAGCTATTTTGATTTCAGGTTTCCCATTTGGATTTTATTTGCAAAAATTAAATATATCAAATAACCTTGAAAGTAAAAACGATTCAAGTAAGTGTAATTAGAGAAATCCTTAATTATGATATGATCTTCAAGGACTGTTTTGGACACCTGTAAGCTTTATAATGAAATATGGATTTAGAAAAATGTTTATATAAAAACATATAACGTGTTTGAAAATGCTGGATATTCACAAAACAAATGTACTATTTAGTTTTCAGTGTGGTATAGCAATATACTCATTACTCCCATGTCAGGAACAGAGAGATGTGACTTACGCATCAATTCCAATTTGCCAGTAAACTTCCTGGGTCACCGGAGCCCACATAATTTGTCCAGAATACAGACTGTTATCAACTCCACCAAAGATCACTTCTCCTCCTTGGCTATATAAAGACAACAGAAATACAAACATTTTACAAATATATCTCTCTAATCTATACTGTACGTAGGGAGACAGCAGTGCAAGTAGCATGTGTGTGTTTTTTTAAAAGGACTCTATAGGCATCCGGACTACTACATCTAAATGAAGTGGTCTGGCTGCCATGCCCCTGACTTTTTTAGCTTTAGCAACTGAAAACATTGTCGTTTAGTAGATACAGCAATGTTTACATTGCAGGCTTAATGTCTAGTGGCTGCCATTGTCCACTCTCCCAAAGTTAAGGCAGGTCCCCTTGAAACCCTGACCCAAATGCTAAGGATCCCCTAGCCACCCCTCATAAGCCACCCCATCTCAGTTCCACTCCCCTTTATCAAATTTTAAGCCCCTACTCGATACCCATGAATGATGCCTGGGAGGACATATACCAGCCCCCCCCCCCTTTATTTTAAAGGTCCCACCCCAATCGTTGCCTATTTGCTGGTTGCTCACTGTTTAGTGGATATACAGAGATTGTTTCATGTTGTGGGAGGGGCCTTCTTTTACCTTTATGAGGCCTCTCCACTTCCTGTTATCCCTCTTTGGTGCCTGCTTTCTTCTCAAGCTCTCCCTCCCTTCCCCTTGCTTCCGTAGTACTATTTTCCTTGCAGGTGGCAGAGCTGGGAGCTAGTTTTGCTTCCCCCTCAGTTTTTTTTCTTTTTAGGTAGCTGGGAGTCAACAGTTTGTTAGTTTACTTCTACATGTTGAACCTATCGGTTTCTTTCAGCCTGGCGGTTCCTTGGCCCTATTGGACTGGAGTGTTTTTGCCTTCCCTCTACCGTGGGTGGGTGCAGTTTGAGGTTCAGTAGCTGAGATGGTGGACAGGAGTGACGCCAGCAAGATAGCTGGGTTTTCCCGTTCTCAAGCAATGAGTGCTCTAGGGTGATGTCACCTACAATTGTTCCTTGTTAGGATGACCATGCCGATGATATCCCTTACAGTCCTTTAAGGTTGAGCCGGAACCTCCATCAGTGCTGCCATCATAGTTAATAGAGTTATTTTATACCCCTTATGTATATAGCGTATTTTCAAAGCACTTTACCGTAAGTATATAATATAAGGTTTATTTAAGTCACCAAAGAAAGAAGATTGACGGCTAATAGTGTACAGAGGGATTCATGATTGTGGCCTTCATCTAAAACACAGAGTCCTAAATGAGGCAAATTATCCCTCTAAAGTATCTTGGCAAATATTCCTCTTTATCTGAATTGTCTCTCTTTGACTTGTTTAAACCTATTACCAGCTCCATGCAGGTTCTGATGACATTTACCTACTCATGTACACACTGAAGATGGGGTTGTTCAGAAGGTTCTGTTGTAGCATGCCTTGCATAGCAGTGGTGGCACCCCCTGCAGACATGGCAGGATAGGCCATTCCAAAGATCCCATCAAACTTGGAATAGTAGAAACTGCTGCCACTCTCAGAGTAGGTCAAACCAAACTCTTGGTTAGTCAGGGAGAGCCCTTGAACCTGTGTACAGAAATAAATAGTTCTTAAATGTGTATGCGCTGCAAAGAGATGATATATACTCCAGCACAGTACAAGAAGAGAAGAAAAATGCAGCCAGAAGACATATATCATTTATATCAGTGGTTCTTAACTCATAGATTAGTCCATAAAATTGGGTCCTTATGTCATTTATATGGGTTCCTATTTAGTAGGAACAAACACATTTTATTCATCATCATTCCCCATAGCAGTAAATGAGCTGTATATTACACAAACCATGCCATTGAATAACACTGGGTAATTACTTTTTAAATATGTGGGTCAGAAGTGTACCAATTACAGATTATTTCTGGAAAATTTCAATTATATATGGATATTATTTCCTTTTTGTACTTTCCTGATTTTTTCTCTTCAGCCTTGTATATTTCTGTGGTCAAGCAAAACATTTAAAAAAATGTAGGTCTGGCTGTGAGTTTCTCCATTAAATCTTGACCACAGTACCATAGACTGCATTTAATTAAGAGTCTTCATTGTTGTTATATAGGTTTAATGTTTCAAATGTCTTATTATCCCTAATATAGGAACTTTTTACCATGTAGCAAACACCATTAATCTTGGCAGACATAAACTTATTTCAGCCATGGTTATGAATTCTGTACAGTATAAATGTATAATTGTACTTCTTGGAGATATCTGTTAAATGGAGACAATAAATTGGGATATTTATATACATGTTATCACCACAAGGTTTATTGTATACCATAGGGTGGGGGTGAAATACACTAACGGGAAGCTGCTATATTGGTATATTTTAAGGATTTCCTTTATCACATTGATGTTCACAAAAATCTACAGCTATAATTTATATCTTACTTATTCGACAAGAGTTATTCCACAAGAGTTACATAACATGCATCATACAGAAGCATTAGTCTCTTACCGCAACTGTGTCATAGCCAAAGACACCAGAGACACTTCCACTTCCGTAGGACATGGTAAACTGCTGTCCATTCGATGTATAGGTGGAGGACTGACTGGGGTTAAACATGTTGTGGTTGCCTGCAAGAAAAATAGATGGTTTATGTTTTGAAAATTCTACCTCTTAAAACAGTTGTTTTTCCATAGATTGACTGCACCTTTTCTCATATTGATCATTTTTACTATATACTAAAATAATACCAAATTACATGTCGATAGTAAAATCCAGTGAGAATCAATCACAACGTAAATGCACTCGCACTAACTTGGGTCATAACACTTATGATCTGGTAATAAGAGTGATTTTCACTTGAGTGGAGAACCTTTGGTAAATCTGGAACTGGCCATAGTCTTTTTTTTCATTTTTTTAATTAAAATGATATGGCTGGAATAACCTTTAATCTGTGTGTAGTCCTATGTGGCTAGGGTTGCATAAACAGAAACAAAAGTGATTTAACTTTGAAATGGCAGAGAATTGAGCAATGAGACTTTAGAGGCATGATCTATACACAAAAACTGCTTGATTAAGCTAAAGTTGTTTTAGTGACTACAGTGTCCCTTTAATTTGCATTCACACATACTGAATTTATTTGCTAGATGCTCAAGCATGCATCCACATGCCCATCACATCATGAGATAGTGAAGCCCCTAAATCATGGAAGCGCAATAGAGGTAAGCTTAATTTTTATTTATGTTACTCTATTAACCACAGAAAACATGGAAATTGTGTTTACTGGGGTGCTTATGCGGTATATATTTCTACATTACAGTGAAGCTGTCATATTTCTTTAAACTCTGAAACTATTGGTAAACTGCAATGTTTTTTAAAAGAACCACAAAGAAACTAGTTCTGTAACGCAAGTGAGCAGATAGATTAAAAGCTCTCAAATTAATACTTACTACAGGCCTGGCTCTGGCAGTTTGTGGAAGGTACCCACAAGTTAGAGGAGCCAGTATCAAATAGAACCAAGAAGTTTTGAGGTGGTGTTCCAATACTGATCTCGCCATAGTAATATGTCTAGAAAATATAAGAATATTATCAACATGTTTTTTTATATTGTACAAATGAATTAAAAAAAATTAAATAAAAAAAAACATTTGAAAAGAAAATATAAGTATGATACATTGGTTAGGGTTTCTCTGCAATGTTTATGCTGATGTGCATGTGCAATCGTTCATGTATGACTCACATCCATATACATAGGTTCGTAGGCCACAGCAAAATCGTTCTTTTGGTTAAAGCCATATTTTAGGGCTGGGTCTCTCTTGTGTGTCTTCATAAATTCCTTCAAGACTCCTTTCTCCCGCATGTTCTCCCTGGCAGACTTGTATTTCTTTAGAGGGACTCTGAGTGAGAAATGGTATTGTAGTTATAAGTAGTACAATTATTATTTATGCTTATGGCACTAACACAGCACTTCATATACTGATGAAATTAGTAGAGCTTTACTTTTTTAAACCTTGCAATATAGTTCGAGACATGGTGTCATGCTAGAATTTTGGGACACTGCTCTTTTGAGGTTATGACTGGTATAAATTTCAATAAATAATGTCATAAAAGTTGATTCATCACATCGAGAATTGTTTAATATAGCAAGAGAGCACCTCCCACCAAGTTTATTTTGGGTTACATGCAAATATATTTGAACACTAGAGCTGCATAGTATTTTTATCACACTAGAACACAGTTTTCAAAATATCTTACTATATATAGAAGACTTATCATTTTTTTCTGCGATTGTGCAATCTGTTATTGTGTAGTATCAGTTTCTGTTTCTAAAAGATTACTGATGCGTAGTTGAAGTACTGCAATATTCAAATAATGTTGGACCCTTTGATGGATATTTTCAGATAAAAGCCAGACATGAATTATACTTGGTGAGTCAAACATCAGGAACCACTCATTCCTGTTCAAACTCAAGGAAATCGGTCTAGATGAAAATGCTTGTTCTTGGGTAGAACATTGGCTTAAAAACAGAGTACAAAGAGTTGTCATTAATGGTAAATTTTCAAGCTGGACAGAGGTGGTAAGTGGTGTCCCTCAGGGTTCTGTTCTTGGACCCCTTCTATTTAGCATGTTTGTACAGCTCTACGGAATCTGATGGCGCTATATAAATAATAAAATAATAATAATAAATGATCTTGAAAATAGCATTGAAAGTCATGTTTCAGTGTTTGCAGATGACACAAAACTCTGTAAAATAATACAATGTGAGCAAGATATTACTTTGCTGCAGAGGAATTTAGACTGGGGGACTGGGCACTCAAATGGAAGATGAAATTTAATGTTGAAAAATGAAAAGTTATGCACTTTGGCGTAAAGAATGCCTAAGCAACGTATACCCTTAATGGAAGCGAATTAGGGATAACAACAAACGAAAAGGACTTGGGGACTGTTATAGACAACAAACTATGCAACAATGTGCAATGTCAATCAGCAGTGGCTAAGGTATTGCCATGCATGAAGAAGGACATTCATTCTCGGGATGAGAATATCATTTTGCCTCTTTATAAATCACTGGTAAGATCACATATTGAATATGCTGTGCAATTTTGGGCACCTGTTCTAAAGAAGGATATTATGGCACTAGAAAAAGAGCAGAGGCGGGCTACAAAATGAATAAAAGGAATGGAAGATATCAGCTATGAAGAAAGGTTAACAAATGTAAACCTCTTTAGTTTAGAAAAACATCGCCTGAGAGGGGATATGATAACATTATACAAATATATATTCAGGGTCAATACAAACCATTGTGTGGAAATCTATTCACAAACCGGACTTTACATAGGACACAAGGTCATGCGTTTAGACTGGAAGAAAGAAGATTTTGTCTAAGGCAAAGGAAAGGTTTTTTTACTGTAAGAACAATAAGGATGTGAAATTCTCTGCCTGAAGAAGTGGTTTTATCAGAGTCCATACAGATGTTCAAACATCAACTAGATGTATACTTGCAAAAACAGAATATTCAAGGATATAATTTTTCAATGTAGGGTAATAGCTGCTTGATCCAAGGATAAATCTGACTGCCATTCTGGGGTCAAGAAGGAATTTTTTTCCTAGTTTGTTGCAAAATTGGAAGCGCTTCAAAGCTTTTTTTTTTTTTTTGCCTTCTTTTGGATCAACAGCAAAATACAAATGTGAGGAAGGCTGAACTTGATGGATGCAAGTCTCTTTTTAGCTATGTAACTATGTAACTCATGTTCCTGGAACACTCATAAACTGCATAACCAGTATAGCTCAGTGGTTATGGTGCAAGTAGTCTTTAAGAGTGCTCCATTTTCAAGACACTTTACATGCTACATGACTGGACCAAACCTCTAGCTGGTACAAGGCTGTTGCTGCAATAGTGAGGTAGTTCTACAAAAGCGCACCAGTTACCCCCCTGGACCTGTGAACGCAATGGAAGATAATCACAGTGCCCACAGGTAACTGGCACGCAATTACTGTGACTGGCTCTCACAATCACTCAGTTTAAAGTAGAGATACGCACTGGGAACATTTTGTTTTCATTCTTAAATTTTCACATTTCTCTTGAAATTTGGACACCCATTATTTCCTATGGGGAACAAATAAAGGTGGCAGTCAAAAAAATTACAAAGCACCAATTTAGGGAATTTTTTACTAAACTGCTAAAAGATCAGAATTTAGAAAAGCAATTTCTTTTAATTTTGATTGTACATCTGTTTAGTAGATAACTCCATAGTTTGCTATCATTATGTAAGATTGCCATATGTAAATATACGAAATAAGGAACCTATTTGCTAAACATGTCCCTAATTTGGTATCACTAAATATGGAAATCCCACATAAGGGTACCACTTCAGGGAGTTACCACTATTCGGTCCCCTCCCCTCCCGCTGGGCTGAAGGGGTTAAAACCCCTTCAGCTACTTACCTTAATCCAGCGCCCGGCTTCCTCGGCACTGGTGACCTCTCCTCCCCCGCCAGAGCCGAGCGTGCATTCAAATTGAGTAATGCTTTCCTATGGGGATCTGAACTCATGCTGCGTGAGTTCAATGCGATTTTCTTATTGAGAATCGCGGAAGCAGCCTCTAGTGGCTTTCAAGGAGAAAGCCACTAGAGGCTGGATTAACCCTCAAAGAAAACATATCAGTTTCTCTGAAACTGCTATGTTTACAGCTGCAGGGTTAAGACTAGGGGGACCTGGCACCCAGACCACTTCATTGAGCTGAAGTGGTCTGTGTGCCTACAGTGGTCCTTTAATGTTGATATTTCAGCTGCTTAGTAGATAACTCCCTAATTTGCTATCCTTATTATTATTATTATTACTGGCATTTATAAAGCGTCAACAAATTCCGCAGCGCTGTACAATTGGGAAAAAGACAAACACAATAATAACAGACCGATACAACAGGTAGAGGACCCTGCCCGTGAGCTTACAATCTAAAGGTTAAACTGGGGAGATGAGACAAGAGGTAGCAGAGAGAGTTAATAGTATAACTGCAGCAGCTGATAGCATGTGAAGGAAATGAGGAAGTGATTGGCTATGGTTCCAAACAGCTGGAAGAGCATGCTATATAGTTAGAAGGAACCATGGTGGGTAGAGCCGAGAAAAATTAAAAGGCCTTCTTGCAGGGATGTATGGTGACTAGGGGCTAAGGAAGAGAGATAAAACAGTTACTTAAAAGGCATTTACAGCTAAGAGTGGTGGGGGCACTCAACCCCTCTGTTCCTGTGTGTCCAACTTGTCTGGTTACAACTACATGTCTGTTCCACGCATTGTAGAGCGCTGCGGAATTTGACTGTGCTCTATAAATATCATAATAATAATATCATTATAGTAAAGTAAAAATCTAGCAACAAAATGAAAGAAATCTGGTTGAATATCTTCTCCATCTCAGACCGTACCTTACAGCTGCAGTGATCAAAATTAAAAGGCCTTCTTGCCGGGATGTATGGTGACTTGGGGCTTACAGCTGCAGTGATCAAAATTAAAAGGCCTTCTTGCCGGGATGTATGGTGACTTGGGGCTTACAGCTGCAGTGATCAAAATTAAAAGGCCTTATGAAAGATTGCCATATTTAAGTATACCAAGGGATACCAAGCCCTTTTTTAAATTTTGCTCTTTCAGTTGTAGATAACTCCCTAATTTACTATCCTTATCAAAATGAATGGATCTGAAACAAATTCATTAAATTTTGTTTACTTTTTGTGTTACGGGACTTGGGAAATTCGGATGCTTCTGTATTGCCAAGTCAGACAAATTCCAGACAAACTTCAAGTCTAGTTTAAAGTCATGGTTAAGCCCACATGTAAGGTTAGGGTTACAGCTAGGGTTAAAATGATAGGTTCAGATTTAGGTTTAGTGTTAAGTTTAGAACTAGAGTTACAATCAGATTTGGTGTCACAGACACCATTACTCCAAGTATGCCTGTGTTTTGCTTTGGTGGGTGAAAGGGTTACAAAAATTACTATTTATCTGCACTAGAACCAAATGAATGGTAAAAAAAAACTCTCTTTTAACACCCTCCACACCTAACACCAGTATTAAAAGCTGCCACCACCAGGGCAATTTAGAAATGGGGCACTTTAGGTTACACTAGCTCATCAGATTTTAAAACCCACAAAACACAATTTAGCAATAAGTCTATGCAACTAAAAATAATATAAGTGATTCTTTACCAGACAAATGCGTGTAGCCTGTAGGAGTGGGTTAAAGTACACAATATCTTTTGGGTGTAAAATATCACACCTTTCCAGAGGGACACAGCCCCTATACCACTCCTATTAATTAACCATTTCATGGATCTATTATACAAATCACATTTATTAACATTATTTCTACAGTGCAACAATGAATCATGACTGCTGGGCACGACAGTTAGGGCTAGCAATATATTCGTATGTGTTTAGTTAGTTTGGGACCTTATTTAGGAGATATTGGCAGATTAATGTTTTAATGGTAAAAAGGTAAGTTATATTTAGGCAAATGTTATGATGTCACTGACATTGCATCAATTGTTTGATGATAAAAGTGTAATTTAACCCCTTAAGGACCGAGGACGGTTCAGGACCGTCATCGGCATTTTCCCATTGCCGACCACTGACGGTCCTGAACTGTCCTAACGGTCCTCGTGACTTACCTGATCGCCGTCGTTCCCCCGGCGGCGATCAGCGGTGCTCCCGGTGTGGGGGGACTGCCTGCAGCACAGACAGTCTCCCCACACCGGATTAGGACCCCTGTGGCCATGTGATCGCTTAACACAGCGATCACATGGTCACAATGGGTGTCCATGTGTCTGCCTGCAGGGGGACTGCCTGTGCTGACAGGCAGTCTCCCTGCATGTGTAAAATCAAAAAAATAAATAAAGTTAGTGTTAATAAAAAAAAAAAAAATTCTATATGTGTATATATATATATATATATATGATATATAGACATATATCTATATAATATATGTCTATATATCATATATAGAATGTCATACTAAGGGTATTTTTATATTAATATGTACATATATTAATATAAAAATACACTTATAATTAAATTACACACTTATATATATAATATATATAATAACTATATATATTGTATATATATATTATAAAATATAAATAATAAGTAATTTAAATTAAATTACATTTTTTTAAATAATAAAAATTGAAAAAAAATTATATATCTATATGAAATTTTATTCTAACTGTATTTTAAAATTAATATATGTATATTTATATCAAAATACACTTAGAATGAATTTGTATATATATCTATGTATATATAAATAAATAAAAATAATACAAAATATACATATGTCCATATACAAAATTACATAAATAATTATATAAATATACACGTAGACTTCAAATATATAAATATGCATATATATTTAAATTCTACGTGCGTATTTATGTAATATTTTTACATAATTCAGTAATTTTATTGATTGCAATTTGAGGGACCTGCCTGCCAACCCAGGCCGAAATTCCAGAGAATTTAATTTGCTAGCACTGTATTTTACCCTGTAACGTTCTACGACACCCTAAAACCTGTACATGGGGGGTACTGTTTTACTCGGGAGACTTCGCTGAACACAAATATTAGTGATTCAAAACAGTAAAACATATCACAGCGATGATATTGTCAGTAAAAGTTACTTTTTTTGCATTTTTCACACACAAACAGCACTTTTACTGATGATATAATTGTTGTGATACGTTTTCCAGTTTTTAAATAATATTTGTGTTCAGCGATGTCTCCCAAGTAAAACAGTACCCCCCCATGTACAGGTTTTATAGCATTTTTGAAAGTTACAGGGTCAAATATATGGTTCAAATATTTTTACATTGAAAATGGCCAGGTTGGTTACGTCCCCTTTAGAGCATATGGTAGCCCAGGAATGAGAATTACCCCCATTATGGCATACCATTTGCAAAAGAAGACAACCCAAGGTATTGCAAATGGGGTATGTCCAGTCTTTTTTAGTAACTACTTAGTCACAAACACTGGCCAAAATTAGCGTTCAATTTAGTTTTTTTACTTTTTTCACACACAAACAAATATGAATGCTTACTTTGGCCAGTGTTTTCGACTAAGTGGCTACTAAAAAAGACTGGACATATCCCATATTAAATACACTGGGTTGTCTACTTTAAAAAAAATATGTACATGTGGGGTGTTATTCAGTGATTTATGACAGATAATAGTGTTACAATGTCACTATTGATAAATTTTAAAAATGTTTGTTTTGAAACCGCAATATCCTACTTGTACCTATAGCCCTATAACATGCAAAAAAAAAGCAAAAAAGCTCATAAACACTGGGTATTTTTAAACTCAGGACAAAATTTTGAATCTATTTAGCAATTTTTTTCATTCGCTTTTGCAGATGAGTAAAAGATTTTTCAAGTAAAAGTCAAAAAACATGTATTTTTTTCAATTTTTCATCATATTTTATTATTTTTTTTAAAATTAAAATTCATGAGATTATATAAATAATGGTATGTAAAGAAAGCCCCTTTTGTCCTGAAAAAAACAATATATAATTTGTATGGGAACAGTAAATGAGAGAGCGGAAAATTACAGCCAAACACCACAAAAGTGTAAAAATATGCCTGGTTGCAAATGTACAACATCGCAAAAACAGTCCAGTCCTTAAGGGGTTAATCAGCTTGTGAAAGCAAACTAAGAGGCATTTCAAAATTAGCGCATATCTCTAATTGACTCTTTAGTTCCAATAAAATTGGAGTCTTACAGTAGAACATGTCAGCTTTTATAAAATTAACAATTAAAATGCAATATATGTGTGACAATTTTATAATGAAAAAAACAACATAAAATGGCAGAAGAAAGTTAAATATTTCAGTCAATCAAAACGTGGACCCATTCTATAATTTTTCTCTATGAATTTCTGCAAAACTTGTATGCATGGAGTATTAATTTACTTGTGTAATATAGCAGAATACAAATCTTGGCACATCAGCTCTGTGATAGTCACCACAAAATTGCAAAGTGTAAAAAACATATTTCTGTTAAATTTCAAAGAAATTCGTGAAGAAATGTTGCAATTCAACCGGTCAAAACTGCTTTTAGATCTTCAAATTATGCTTTATTAACCTTCCCCTTTTCCCCGGTTTTGTTTTCTGTATCCTATTCCCAATATCAATGAAACTTTGAATTTCAAAAATGTAAGGCTGAATTCTGAAATTTGATGGGAGTTAATAGATTGCAAGCTCGTTCGAGTAGCTTGTTGTTCCTATTGGAATTAATCCTAAACAAGGATATAATATTGTAAATCGCTGTGGAAAAAGTTGGAGCTGTACCTATCCCAATAATAATAATAATGTTTTATTTTTACTGTAATGTTAAATACTGAAATTGCAATTGTGAGGGTAGTGAGATACTTTAAGCATGGATCTGTGTTTCTACATCAGCCCATATCAGGATTACAGTATTCATATTTTAAAAAAATTAATGACGGTTGAAGTATAACCAGAGGTTTTGGCAGATTTTATTCATGAACTGATTGCATGATTTTACATTGGCAATTTGTAGGCTCAACATACAAATTGTGCAAATGTTTAGCTGTAAATCTTTTTTCCCTTCTTGTAATTATTGTGTTATAAATAAAAAAAAGATGATTGGCATCTTAGACATATAAAAGATTCCCACAATCAGGGCTAATAAGAAAATCTATTTGAGCTATTTTTCTTTAACTATATAGAAAAACTTGCAAGTAAAAAGTGTGATTATCTTCACCCCATTCTGTTATACTTTATTCATTCTTAAAGGGACACTATAGTCACCAGAACAACTACAACGTATTGTATTTTTCCTGGTGAGTAAAACCATTCTCTTCAGGCTTTTTGCAGTAAACACTGTCTTTTCAGAGAAAATGTAGTGTTTACATTACAGCCTAGTAAGAACTCCACTGGCCACTCCTCAGATGGCTACTAGGGGTGCTTCCTAGGGCTGTGGTGCACAGTGTGCAGCACTGTCATTTAGTGTCTCCACTCTCTGAATGCAGACACTGAACTTTCCTCTTAGAGATACATTGATTCAATAAATGAGTAGATGCTGATTGGCCAGGTCTGTGTTTAACTTGTGCTGGCTCTGCCCCTGACAGCCTCAGCCAATCCTATAGGAAAGCATTGTGATTGGCTAACAGAATCACTTCTGATAATTTCAGCTCTAAGCAGGCAGATCTGGGGCAGAGGCAGTAGCTGAAGACTTGAATACAAGTAACATTTTACTATATTTAGGGAGGCAGGGGGGCTAGATGGTGGTTTTAACACTATAGGGCCAGGAATACATGTAAGTGTTCCTGACCCTATAGTGTTCCTTTAATGTTGTGTTTTGTATACATATAGTGTATCAAACGAAAGCCCTATCTATGTATGGGGATGAGTCTGACCACCAAGCCGTGCAGACGCAACTAGCACGAGCTCCAGCCCGGCGGGCGGAATCGGGGGTAAAATCGACAGCTGCCAAGCCAACACTCACCCAAGGGTGCACCACCCACGTTGGGGGTGCCCCACTGAACCCACTGACAACACCCCGGGACTGATCAGAGCAGGGATTGTGGAGATCCAAATGTGGCCTACTAGTGCTGCAGCAGAGGGGAGGCGGCCGCTCTCCTCGGCACAAAAGTCAACATGCGACCTCTGGACCGGTGGGGGATATCCCGGTCCCCACAGGACACACAGACCTGATGGGAAAACAAGCAGAAGGGTAACAGAGCACAACAGGGCAACAGACCCACAAAGTCTGGCCAAAATGGCCGACCAGCATACGCCTGGAAAGCGGAGCACCCATACTAAGGCACACGTGTCCCCTATGGAACTCTTTGACCGGCTCTGCACAGGCCTCAAGGAGGCACTATACAGCAGGGGGGCAACCCATCGACAAGCTTACTTAATGGTGACCTCGTGGATACGTCCAGCAGCGAAGCGCAGCCACTACACTCAGGTACCACGAGCCTCCAAGATGGCCGCTCGGCAAAACAGACATCGCCGGGCCCTGAGACGGGGCATGGCACCAAACCCTTAAGGCACAAGCCCCTACCAACACACAAGAAGAGCCAGGAATTCGAACCAAGCGACGCACACACATCTCCCGCCCGACCGGAACCCCGGCAACCAGCGCGACATGAAGCACATCTCCCCACTCAAAGCCACATTGCACGTAGCCACGCGGATCCACAACATGGGGGGCACCACCAGATCAGACCCCTGAGGAGGAGTCACCGGGCCCTACAGCCGCACTGACGGGACTAGCAGTCTCAACGCACTGGAGTTACCAACGCTGGGCATAGGCTGAACTGCCCACCACGCTGCCCCAAAGGTATTTCTGGCCTGGACTGTTACAAACTCTCGCTACTGATGAATACCCGGTCTCAGACATCTCATACAGGTCAAATGCGGACTATGCCCCCATCCCATCACGGACTCTAAATGACAACACTGGGTATATCGCAAAGCGTTCTTCTCATTTGCAGCCTATACACACTACAGGACTAAACATGATGCTAATTACTGTTGTCTTTATTTCTATTTTTAATTAATCTTGCTGTTGAGACCAGTATAGCGAGGGAACAGAATTGTTATTAGCCCTTTGCAGATACACTAGCTTATATACTAAATCAATGTTAAACAGGAGTTTCCCACTCTGCTAACTCAATTCATGCATAAGAATAGCCTGTCAATTACATAGCAATACACCCTTCAAACACTGCTGGTGTTGTGGATTGCACCGCTGAGCCAGTTTCACCTTGTGTGGCTTCCCTATACCGGCATTGGCTGGCAGGGTACAGCCTGTATGTCACTGTAGACTAAATGTTTCTCACCTAGCTGACTAGGCAGGGCAAATCGTCTTAAAATACAACTCTATTGTACCAGCGTATACTAAGTTCAATTGTTGAGCCTGATTTAGTAATATACTTTCTAAGCATGTCTATTAATACTCACACGCTTGTTTTAAAAAGAAATACATGCAAACCCAACATGCCACAACACTGTTATGTTATGAACATGGAAATCAAGCCTGCTGACGCCGTTGTGGCGATACAGGCACTGTTGTACTTACCTGCATATCAAAAATAAAGAATTAAAAATAAATAAATATGTATATCATATGTTGGTGCGCTTAGTGATAAAGTGTGAAATTCCGGTTGTGAAAAGCATGGAGTCTGAGAAAAAAACTAATTCACTAAGGGTTAATGTTGCATTAATATCCTCATTACCATTATGTAAAAGACCAATACATGTACATATGACATATGTTACCCTAATCCTCTGCCATCTTGAAGGGATGTAATAGGCAGTGAGACTGCAATGCACTAAAACCATTTAATTGGCTAATTTTGGTGCTTATAGGGTTCATTTAAAAGCTGACATCTATTTATCTAACAATAAGCATCTTTCAGGTGGGACATTTCAGGACTTTTGACTCACCATGTATAACAATATTACTACAAGACACAGTTGTTGTTAAGCTTGTGATTTATGTCTCACATTTGTGTAGAGAGAAAGAGGCCCATTGGTAATGCTTACCTCACCACGAGCCCCTCTGCTAACTGGAGACAGATACAGATAAACACGACCCACTTCATGTTCCCGATTCTCTTTGCTTGGCAGAAAGATTCCAGGCCTGCAAATTGTCCTGACTTTTAAGGCCGGGTTTCCCCCCCCCCATTTCTCCACCCTCTAACATGTCTACCAATCATACCCCTGATTTGACGCCAGTAGATTTCCATTTCGTCTTCCAAAACTCATATGATAAGAGATATTGACTGATAGTAAAGAAAGAACAGATCTAAGGACACTTGACAGCCAAGAACAATATACGTTCTCAATTCACCTTCACGTCTCATTGTTTTGGCTGCAGCTTATCTGCATCAGAAAGTAAACTGAATACCTGAATACACAGTGCTGAAATTAATAAATATATTTGGCTATCATAGGGTTTCATAAACATCGCTGTATAAATCTCCTTTATTATGCCAATTACAAGTAGTTAAAGGGATACTTTAAGCAACATGACTACTGACATTTATTGAAATTGTTAGGTTGCAATGAGTCTTTGAGTCCATCATAAAGAATTTTGAGGATACTGACAAAAAACCTAAACTCTCCCAGCACTCAAATCATGACCCCTTGAAAACCCTAGTGGTAGTGTGACGGTGTGAGAATAGAGTAGTGGGAAACTAAATGAGCAGTCATGCTCCAAAACTCAACAGTGTTACGAAATTACATAAATTCCGAGAGTAGGCTAAAATTCCTCCACAGTGAATGAAAGACTGGTCTCGAGGAAATACTTTAATTTTTTTTATATAGGCTATTTTTTTTCCACTTTAGAGGAGATCTAATAAAATAAAAAATATAGAGAGCCTGCACTCTTATTGAGTGATAATCCAAGGTGCAAATTCGGACCTGAGGCTGGCATACAAAAATAGAAAATGCAATGTGAGCCAGGCACTCATGGGTAGTAAGAGTTCAGATTTCTTGAAGTTTCTCTGTACAACGTGACCACAGCAATGTTTTAACTTTAAATGAGATCTTTATCAAGCGAACACACCAGTGTATACAAACAGTATATATAGAAGATATAATTAGCAATAATTAAAACTAAATCGCAGATACTCGCTCAATTATCCGAATGGTCTGCAGCTGAAGCCAAATGACCACAACAAGATCAGCGCTGAATTGCGCAGTAATGTCAGTCGTGCCCACAGATAGAGCACAAGTGTGGCAAAAAAGTCAAGGTGTATAGTGCATATGCATCTGATGACGCAAACAGAAGAATAACAGTCCCAAAAAGAATAGCACACAAGATCGGGGCATTGACGCAAAGTGCTGCATGACGTAAAAGTACAAAGCACTTGTACATCATGAAATCACAAAGACAAGTATATATTATCACAACGCAGGCCAGACAAAAAGCCCATTGGGCCAAACTGGCAGATATTTATGTAAAACAACTGAAAATTAATGTTTGCATAAAGAATTTAAAAGTGAAATATGCATTTAGTTATTGTACCATATAAAGAGAAAAAATATATATATAAAAAAAATGAAATAATGATTGCTATTGTCAGAAATTCTTTTGCAAAAACATAAGTAAACATATACACACTGCATTATTTAACCCCTTAACGCCGTTACGGCGTTCTATGCCGTCCCACATTAAATGGGCTTTAAAGCCGTTGCGGCGGCATAGAACGCCGTAACGGCTTTCAGCCCCAGGAGCTCGGAGGTACTCACCTCCGCTGCGATCCTCTTCGGGAGGACTGCCTGAAAACCCCCCCCCCCCGGCAAATGAGGCCCCCGGGGGCCATGTGATCGCTCTCAAAGAGCGATCACATGTCCCCCTATAGGTGGCTGTGGATCTGCCTGCAGGGGGACTGTCTGTGCTGTCAGACAGTCCCCCTGCTGGTGGGAAGTATAAAAAAAAATAATTAAACCTGTTAAAATAAAATAAATGTGTGTGTGTGTGTGTGTGTATATATATATATATGTATTAAGGCAATTTGCCTGGATTTGTGGGAGGTGCTGGTTTGCTACCCCTAGCCTACTTAAGGCACTCCCCTTACCTGGCTCCTTACCGTTCGAGGTCAGCGTTGAATGCAGCATCATAACTTACTGCCCTCACAACCATTACTACAGCTACAAGGTGCAGTACTCACCACTACAACCTTCATGACCTACGTCAGGTCCTTGCTCATACAACTGGGCCTCAACGCAGACAAATACTCAGGGCACTCCTTTCGTATAGGAGCCGCGTCCACAGCCTCCAGTGTCAACATCCCAACTCATGTTATCAAAACACTGGGGCGCTGGAAGTCATCTGCTTACTAACGGTACATACCGAACCCAGTACAAGAATTAATGGATGCTTTCAAAAACATGTCTGGTTGATAAAATGTATATGTATTGGTTGTCTGTAATAAATTTGATTACTTAATTTTTGCCCTCTTCTTTCTCAGGCCTACCTCATCGTCGGTTCCGGCACACCACAACCGACTTGCTCTTTTTACTATCCTACATTTATTTATGGTATTTCACACTGTACTATCATAAGCACCTAACACAAGTATTAAGGCAATTTGCCTGGATATGTGGGAGGTGCTGGTTTGCTACCCCTAGCCTACTTAAGGCACTCCCCTTACCTGGCTCCTTACCCTTCGAGGACAGCGTTGAATGACCCTCCCACCACACCACATTTTAACATTTATTTTCTAATTTCTTTCCCTGGTTAGGCCCTCTTTTTTCTCAGGCCTATCTCATCGTCGGTTCCGGCACACCACAACCGACTTGCTCTTTTTACTATCCTACATTTATTTATGGTATTTCACACTGTACTATCATAAGCACCTAACACAAATAAATATATATATATATATATATATATATATATATAAAAATGTATATATTATATATCTAATATATATTCATCTTATAAATATGTAACGTGATACGTAATGTATTTTAATGTTAATATAAGCATATATATTAATCTTAAAATACACTTAGAATGACGTTACATATATATAAGATATATATATTGTATATATAATACATATATATATTTTATGTTTATATATATATATGTATAAATACAGTAGTAAATAAATAAAATAATTAAATAAATAAAATATTTTTAAAAAAAATTTAAATAAATTATATATACTTACGTAATCTCATTCTAACTGTATTTTGTTATTAATATATATATATATATCGGTAACTAAATACACTTGGAATGACATATATATATCTATATATAAAATACAAATAACTGCAAATATTTATATATAGATAAATATATATAATTACATAAATAACTACATAAGTATACACGTAGAATTTAAATACATATATATGTATATATTTAAAAATTCTATGTGTATGCTTAAGTAATATTTTAACATAATTATGGGATTTAATTAATTAAAATTTGATTGACGTGCCTGACAACCCAGGCAGCAAGTGCAGAGAATTAAATTTGCACGCGCTATATTTAACCCTGTAACTTTCCAAGACACCATAAAACCTGTACAATTGGGGTACTGTTTTACTCGGGAGACTTCGCTGAACATAAGTATTAGTGTTTCAAAATGATAAATTGTATTACAACGATGATATATTTAGTAAAAGTTAAGTTTTTTGCATTTTTCACACACGAACTGCACTTTTACTGACAATATTATTGTTGTAATATGTTGTACTGCTTTGAAACACTTATGTTTTTGTTCAGTGAAGTCTCCCAAGTATAAGGTTGCACAGGTTTTATGGTGTTTTGGAAAGTTAGAGAGTCAAATATAAGGCTTGCATTTCATTTTTTTCACAATTGTAATTTGCCAGATTGGTTACGTTGCATTTGAGACCGTGTGGTAGCCCAGGAATGAGAATTACCCCCATGATGGCATACCATCTGAAAAAGTAGACAACCCAAGTTATTGCAAATGGGGTATGTCCAGTCATTTTTAGTAGCCACTCAGTCACAAACACTGGCCAAATATTAGTTTTTTTGCTTTTTTCACACAAAAACAAATATGAACGCTAACTTTGGCCAGTGTTTGTGACTAAGTGGCTACTATAAAAGACTGGACATAACCCACTTGCAATACTTTGGGTTGTCTACTTTTGCAAATGGTATGCCATCATGGGGGTAAATCTCATTCCTGGGCTACCACACGGTCTCAAAGGCAACATAACCAACCTGGCAAATTTGAATTTGAAAAAAATGAAATATGGAATGTGCAACATTTTACCCTTTAACTTTCCAAAACACCGTAAAAAATGTTAATGGGGGGTACTGTTGTACTCGTGAGACTTTGCTGAATCCAAATATGAGTTTTTTTGCAGTTAATGCTAACGGTATTATGACATTTACAGCTAAAATGACAAAAAATCTTCAAAAAATCTTAATTTCTCACAGTTTTTTTAATTTTATTCATAATAAATTATGTTTCAAATATGAATAGTTCATGAGAAATTAAAGCCCAGTTTCTCCTGAACAAAATTATATATAATAAGTTTAGGTGCACTTAATATGAAAGAGGTGAATTACGGTTGAACAGACATTGCGCAAATACCAGTTTTCGTACCATTTTGTTTTGATCAATCCCTCACAGGGCCGGCCTTAGGGGTGTGCGAGCTGTGCGACCGCACAGGGCGCCATGGAACAGGGGGCGCCCTGTGGCCGACACAGCTCACTCATGGCCGGAGTGCAGGGGAGCTAAAAGAGGTACCTGGCTGGAGGATTAATTATTCTCCACCGGGATCTATTTAAAAAAAAAAAAAAAAATCGCGGCAGAGGGGGCGGGGTTTACCGAGCGGCGGAGGCGGGGCTTATCGAGAGGCGGAGACGGGGCTAATACCTCCCGAAGCCCCTGCTGTACAGGAAGAGGGAAAGATGCTTCCCATCAGCCAACTGCATCCACTGGAAAGAGGTAAGTGTGTGTGTGTGACTGTTTGCCTGTTTGTGTGACTGTCTGTCTGTGTGACTGCCTGCCTGTGTGCGTGTGTTTGTCTGTGTGTGTGTGTGACTGTGTGACTGCCTGTCCTTGTGTGTGTGTGTGTGTGTGTGTGTGACTGTCTGTCTCTGTGTGTGTGTGTGTGACTGTCTCTGTGTGTGACTGCCTGCCTGTGTGTGACTGTCTGTCTGTGTGACTGTCTGTCTGTGTGACTGCCCATGTATGTGACTGCCCATGTATGTGACTGCCCATGTATGTGACTGCCTGTGTGTGTGACTGTCTGTCTGTGTGACTGTCTGTCTGTGTGACTGTCTGTCTGTGTGACTGCCTGTGTGTGTGACTGCCTGTGTGTGTGACTGCCTGTATGTGACTGCCTGCCTGCCTGTGTGTGTCTGTCTGTAACTATCTGTCTGTGTGTGACTGCCTGCCTGTGTGTGTGACTTTCTATCTGTGTGACTGCCTGCCTGTGTGTGTATAACTGTCTATGTGTGTGTTACTGTGTGTCTGTCTGTGTGTGTGACTGCCTATGTGACTGTCTGTGTGTGTGTGTGTCGCTGTAGCTGTGCCATTGTTTGTGCCTGTGCCTGTATGTGTGACTGCCTTTAACTGAGTGTGTGTGTACATGCCTGTAACCGAGTTTAAATTTCCCCCACCCCTTCCTGTCAAGGCCGCACTTTGACTGACAGACGCTCACTCACTGACAGACGCACACTCACTGACAGACACACACTCTCATATACACTGACAAACAATGACATACACACATACACTATTACTTGGACACACACTGACAGATGCACACTCTCACTGACAGACGCAAGCACTCACTGAAAGATGCACGACTCCACTGACCGACACATACACACTGACTGACACACACTCACTGACCGACACACACTCACTGACCGACACATACACACTCACTGACCTACACACTCACTGACCTACACACTCACTGACCGACACACACTCACTGACGACACATACACACTCACTGACGACACATACACACTCACTGACTGACACATATACACTCACTGACCAACACACACATTCACTCACAGACACACACACATTCACTTACAGACACACACAATTACACACTTACAGACACACACAATTACACACTTACAGACACACACACACACACATTCACTTCAAAATAAACACTCACAGACACACACACAGACATTTCCACTAACACTCACAAACTAATATTTTTTACATTTATTTTAAATCCACCCAGCCTCCCTGGGAAAGCTGGAGTGGATTTCTTACCAGCAGTCCAGTGTGGCTGCTGGGCAGGCAGGCAGGGGGCGCACAGGCTGAGTAAGCAGCGCTTAGTGATGCCGGGAGCCGGACTGACGTCATATTCTGGCTCCCGGCTTCATTAAGCGGCGCAGAGGAAGCTGAGCAGGAAGAGCTCAGGTGAGTATGCTCCTTCGCTGCCCGCTGCCAGCCTTGGGGGGGCTCAAAAGTGGCCAGCCGGTCAGCTCTTGAGCCCCCCAGGATGCGAGGCAAGCAAGGGATCTGCCTGGGGGTTTGGAGGGATGCTTTTTTTTGCCGCCCCCTGCAAAGTGGCGCCCAAGGCAGATGCCTTGTTTGCCTCGTGATACACACGTCCCCGGTGCCTGTGTGTGTTACTGTATTCAGGCAACTTGGTGGGAGGTGGGGGGGGGCGCCGTGAAGACTTTTTGCACAGGGCGCCTAATTGCCTAAGGCCGGCCCTGATCCCTCATACAACTCTAGGCTCTGCCTTCCCATTTGTGGTAAGGAAAAAAAGCCCTAAAAGTGTTAACCATTATATTTACTAAAGTCGGTTGTGGTGTGCCGAAACCGGCGTTTGGGCGGGCCTGTAAATAAAGAGGGTAAAAAGAGATTTAACAATACAAACTTTAATACGTATGAAATTGTAATAACAATCATGTAGATGTGACAGTTTGACTTAATTAGCTAACTCTTTAAAAGCTTGTCTTAGTTCTTTTTCCGGTTGTGGTATGTACCGGTTGTATGCAGATGATTTCCATTGTCCCAGTCTTTTAATTTTGTGTTCTGGTACGTTTTGGCCTGAGGTGGCTGTTGCTGCCCCTATGCGAAATGAGTGACCTGTGAAGGCTGCTGAATCGCAGCCTATTTTTATAAATAGAGTTCTAACGTATATCATGAATTTTGATGTTGTCAGTGGGTTACCATGTAAGCTCAGTAGTGGAGCGGTGTTGTCCTGACCTGTGCGGGTCGGATGCAGTGGTCGAGCAACTGAACTGGGCACCATTTGTTACCTGTGGGAAATAGTTGTATGTCGACAGGCGGTCCCATTTGATTTGTTTTGGATTGGTCTAGTGTCAATACGTAGTGGTCCCCTACTTTGTTTAGGTCTGTTATTTTGAGCATGTTGGTAGTATAGTTGGTTTTTCTACTGTAAATTCATAAGAACGTAAAAACACGTACATTGGCTGTCGTTTTATGGGTTTGTGACCTTCTAACCGTAGGGTGCCTGGCTTGGAACAGCAACAGAATGTGGAGCAGACAGGTCGATTATCAATAGTTTTTTTTATTGTTATATTTTCCGGTTGCAATTCCCAAGGGCTTGGTTCGCCAACATGTGCACTCCTTTACTCAGGAGATGTTGCCGAACAAATATTGAGGTGTTCTTTGGCAGTGATACATAACCGGTGCTGATAATCATGCCTAAAGTACAATGTGTGTGAAAAATAACCCCAAAAATTACTACCCAAAATATTGACAAAGACTGGTGGTAGAATTAGAGCATGGAAAGTGTTAAAATACCACCATTTGAAATACCCCAGGATGTCTACTTTTCAAAAAAATATGGATTGATGGGGTAAATTATTTCGGATGGCTTAAAAAATGTCCCAAATAGGACATGGGTGCATGATGACCAGCTGTGAAAATTTCAGTTTTGAAAACTGGAATGCACATCCTCCAAATAAGGTCTTTTAGCCCCCGAGAACCAGACACAGCTATATATGGGTGGGTATCATTGTACTCAGGAGTTGTTGCTGAACACGTATTGGGGTATTCTTTGGCAATAACCCTTAAAGTTCTCTGTACATGTATTCTTAAATTGCTATGTGTGTCAAAAAAATCACCAGGTATTTTTTTTTTTTTACATTTGGCATAGATTGGGGGTAAAATGGTTGCATGAAAAGCATCAAAATACCCCAAGTTTAATACATTAGGTTGTCTTCTTTTAAAAAATATATACACATGTGAAGGGTTATTCAGGGATTCCTGACAGATATCAGTGTTACACTGTAACTTGCGTTAATTTTGCAAAAAAATGGTTTGGAAATAGCAAAGTGCTACTTGTACTTGTAGCTTTCCAAAAAAAGCTAAGAATGTTATCATTGGGCATTTCTAAACTCTGGACAAAATTTAGAAACTAGTTAGCACAGGTGTTTTTTGCCGGTTGTAGATGCGTAACAGATTTGGGGGGTCAAAGTTAGAAAAGGTGTGTTTTTTTAAATTTTTTCATCATATTTTATAATTATTTTTATAGTAAATAATATGATATGATGAAAATAATGGTATCTTTAGAAAGACCATTTAATGGCGAGAACAACAGTATATAATATGTGTGGATACAGTAAATGAGTAAGAGAAAAATACACAAATACAAAGTTAAAATACAAAGTTATACACAAAACCGCAGAAATGTAAAAACAGCCCTGTCGTTAACGGTAAGAAAATTGAATAACGATCTGGTCACTAAGGGGTTAAAGTGATACATACCTGGGTAAACCAATTCTCCCCTTAAGGGGTTGCAAGTATGCAGGGCCGGATTAACATAGGGGCTGATGGAGCTGCAGCTCCAGGCCCACACCCATGGAATAGGCCCATTGATGTAAAAAAAAAAAAAAAAATTTATTTTTTTTTATTTTTTTTTTACACACACTACTATTAGGGTTCCCAGGTATTTCTCATGTATTTCTTATGGTTGCCAGGTATTTCTCAGAAGTATTTATCATGTATTTGAGGCTGCCTAGCCGGTGCCGGTATTGCAGTAATACCGGCAATACAAATGTCTATCTCAGTATAAACAGATTATTCTGCAATACCAGCGCCAGCCAGTAGGGGTCGCTGTTTGTGTGGAGAGAGGCAGGGATAAGAAGTTACAGCATCTGCCTCTCTCTACTCACTGATCCGCGGGGGAGCAGCTCTGCACAGAGAGTCCAGACAGCAGCTACAAGCCTGCGATACATGGGGACGATGAGAGACTTGGGGACACTGAGACATTGGGACACTGGGAGACATAGGGACACTGGGGAACATGGGGACCCTGAGACACTAGGGACACAGTGGCTCCATGTCTCCCAGTGGCCCCTAGTCTCTCAGCGTCCCCACGTCTCCCAGCCAGTGTCCCCATGTCTCCCAGTGTCCCTGATGTCTCTCAGTGTCCCCAGGTCTCTGTGTCCCTAGTCTCTCAGTGTCCCTAGTCTCTCAGTGTCCCCATGTCTCTCCCAGTGTCTCATTGTCCCCATGTCTCCCAGTGTCCCAATGTCTCTAAGTGTCCCCAAGTGTCCTAGTGACATCGGGACACTGGGAGACATAGGTACACAGACTCTAAGGGACACTGGGAGACAAGGGGATACAAATACTAGGGGACACTGAGACACTAGGGGGCACTGAGAGACATGAGGACACTGGGCGACTTTGAGACCTGGGAGACATGGGGCACTCCCAGTGTCCCCATGTCTTCCAGCCAGTGTCCCTAGTATCTCAGTATCCCTTGTCTCCATGTACCTGGTGTCTCTCAGTGTCTGCAGTGTGCCAGTGTCCGCAGTGTCTCAGTGTTTCCTAGTCTCCCAAAGTCCCCTAGTCTCCCAGTGTCTTAGTGTCCCAATGTCCCTTAGTGTCCCCATGTCTCCTAGTGTCACCTAGTATAAAAAAAAATCTCAGGCACTCACTGTGATAGATTTAAGTCTAGTGAGCAATCAGAGAGAAGCTGTTATATTTCTACTCCTGTCTCTATTCTGCCTGTGAATACCTTATGAGTTAATAATTACTCAATCATTTCTATTTCACAGAGAGATTTTTCACTTATTTTTTAATTCTTCAAGTTTATTCAAGACAGGCATTAGATAAGTGTCTCAGGGTCCCCATGTTCCCCAGTGTCCCTATGTCTCCCAGTGTCCCAATGTCTCAGTGTCCCCATGTCTCCCAGTGTCCCTGATGTCTCTCAGTGTCCCCAGGTCTCTGTGTCCCTAGTCTCTCAGTGTCCCTAGTCTCTCAGTGTCCCCATGTCTCTCCATGTCCCCATGTCTCTCCCAGTGTCTCATTGTCCCCATGTCTCCCAGTGTCCCAATGTCTCTAAGTGTCCCCTAGTGTCCTAGTGACATCGGGACACTGGGAGACATAGGGACACAGACTCTAAGGGACACTGGGAGACATGGGGATACAAATACTAGGGGACACTGGGCGACATGGGGACACTGAGACACTAGGGGGCACTGAGAGACATGAGGACACTGGGCGACTTTGAGACCTGGGAGACATGGGGCACTCCCAGTGTCCCCATGTCTTCCAGCCAGTGTCCCTAGTATCTCAGTATCCCTTGTCTCCATGTACCTGGTGTCTCTCAGTGTCTGCAGTGTGCCAGTGTCCGCAGTGTCTCAGTGTTTCCTAGTCTCCCAAAGTCCCCTAGTCTCCCAGTGTCTCAGTCCCAATGTCCCCTAGTGTCCCCATGTCTCCTAGTGTCACCTAGTATAAAACAAATCTCAGGCACTCACTGTGATAGATTTAAGTCTAGTGAGCAATCAGAGAGAAGCTGTTATATTTCTACTCCTGTCTCTATTCTGCCTGTGAATACCTTATGAGTTAATAATTACTCAATCATTTCTATTTCACAGAGAGATTTTTCACTTATTTTTTAATTCTTCAAGTTTATTCAAGACAGGCATTAGATAAGAGCAGTAGATAGGGGCTGCAATCTGAAACAAGTTACCAACCCCATACAACTGAGGGTTAAAGCAACTGTAGCTAATTAGTATCCTCTTTATGCTCTCTCCGTTTTGCAACAATATTGCAATACTGTGATAATACAGAAGCCCTAACCTGACAGCTATCTGACTCAGTTTCTTCACTCAAACTGTCTCCTATATTGAATTGCATTAACCAAAATTAGGAGAAGAGAGATTGCAACAATTTGTAATTACAAACAACCTTCTGCTAGTTCTATATTACCATATTGTAGAATCAATGACATCAGCCATCTGCTCCCTGTATCCTAGACACCTACTCAGTGTGATATAAGAAAATCCAACTCCTGATAGAGACCTCACTCAATAAAGTCAGAGATTAGGACAATTGGACAACTTTATATTCTTTATCTATTTCTGCATATATCATCTATTTTTCTGAGTAGGTAGAGGTATAGCCAGTTGGCTTTAGATTTGCTATCTGACCATTAATATAAGTCGTGTGCAGCATTCTATCAAAGAACATACTTTTCCTCATCTTGTGTTCCTTTCCAGCTAACACCGACATTCAGAGTCTTTTAGCTCTGGAAATAGGTAGTTATTATTACGCTGTGATAGATTTAAGCAGATTTATTGGACACCGCAATGTTTCAACCTGTAACCAGGTCTTTATCAAGTCTCCAGTGTGCCCCATGTATCACAGTGTCCCCTGTGTATCAGAGTGTCTCAGTGCCCCATGTCTCCCAGTATCCCTGGTGTGTTTTAGTGTCTCAGTGTCCCCATGTCTCACAGCGCCCCCAAGTGTCTCAGTGTCCCCTAGTATAAAAGAAAAAAATCTCAGGCACTCACTGTGATATATTTAAGCAGGTTTATTGGACACCACAACATTTTGACCTGTACCCAGGTCTTTATCAAGTCTCCAGTGTCCCCTATATATCAGTGTCCCCTATGTATCACAGTGTCTCAGTGCCCCATGTCTCCCAGTGTCTCTCATGTCTCAAAGTTACCCAGTGTCCCCATGTCTCCCAGTTTCCCCAAGAGTCTCAGTGTCCCCAGGTCTCTCAGTTTCCCAATGTCTCTCAATGTCCTCTAGTGTCCTAGTGACATAGCGACACTAGGAGACATGGGGACACAGACACTAAGGGACTGGGAGACATGGGGAGACAGACATGCCCCCTTTTTGTGTATGTTCGCACCTTTCGGCAGTTCTGGTTATGTGATTTGTGTCAGTGGCCCACCCTTTTTCCCTGTCCATAGACTTCCTGCTTTACAGGACACTGCTGTTAGGGGGTATAGGTTTACTTGAAAGATGAAAGCGTGGGTATGTGTTTTCTCATAGCTGCATCCTATGAGTTTCCCTCCAGTACCATCTCCATCAGATACATGACGCTTAGGACGTAGGACTGTTTTAGTATTTTTGGTAAATAAAATTTTGTAACTAGGCCCGTCATAATTGTCAGCACCAGGCCCACTGGGCTCTTAATCTGGCCCTGCAAGTATAGTTGGGTTGAAATGAAGCTCATGTTTAATTTTCACGTGATTAGATGTGAATAGAACTATATGTTTGGTAAGTAGATTGTTTGTACATATGAAATTATATGAACTGTGTGCAAATGTTTGATATTACCTTGTAATTGTCCTCCTGGTATGTTTGTGTGGTTACGTAAATATGTTTCTTGACTTGAGCGTTTGTATGACCTGTTTGCGCGTAATATGTCTTTTACCTTATAGAGCAAAGCATGCTTGTGCTGTAGGTCTATGTTGGTTTACGTGAATTACTATGTATAGGCTGTTCTATTTAAAGTTATTCTGTTAGTGTGGATAACTTAATGTTACCTTTTAAATTGTGTGTAGCTAACTCTAATGGCCGTGTTATATAGATGCCAGAAACAGGTATAACAGGGAATGTAACTTACTGGTCTGTATATATGTGGTACAGATCACGTATTCAGGTAGATTCGAGTGTACCCGTTTAAATAGGAAATGAAGATTGATAGGAGTTCTGACTGGAATTTAACTGTCAATACTTTTTACCAGGGTTTTACCTAGTACTCTTTCTACTGACATTAACACCTATGGTGAAATTATTTACCCTTTGGAGCTAGGTTTATGTCCTGTATATTAAAGTTATGACTGCAACATTGTGCTAATCAGCATCTTGATATGCCACACCTGTGAGGTGGATGGATTATCTCAGGAAAGGAGAAAAGTTCACTAACACAGATTTAGACAGATTTGAGAGAAATAGGCATTTTGTGTACATAGAAAAAGTATTCGATCTTTGAGTTCAGCTCATGAAAAATGGGGGCAAAAACAAAAGTGTTGCGTTTATAATTTTGTTCATTGTATATGTATATATATAACAATTTTATTTTTTAAAAATATCTAAATGCACTTAGAATGACATTATGTAAATATATATTTATCAAAGGACACTTACATCCTGGACCCCATTAGGTTTGGCAAGCATTTCCAAACATAAGGCTGAAAATGAACCTGTAATGAAAAAAAAAATAACTTTCCCTAAATTGCGTCATGCAATAGGACAATGATCCCAATCACCTCATTTGAGGTTACTTCATTCCCTGAATCTTCAATGAATCTGCTATCTTACTACCTATGATCACATTGTAGAAGATATGAAACCATTCAGTGTGATACGTATACAAACATCAGGTAGGGGCAAGTACCTTTTCATTGCACTTTAGTATAGAAAGAGTTTCATAAAGAAGAGCCTTTTCTGGAACTGTAGGTTAAAACAAAGTAACCATCTAAAATTCTCCCAATAAGAATAATTTACACCCTACCTCACCCTCATCTCAACCATACGCCAGGCTTTTGATGTCTTCATCACTGTTGGGTACCCAATTCCTTAACCTCTCAATAAAATCCCCCCCTTTCTCCAGTTCAGCACCAACATTGTCCATTTTGTTCCTGAGACCTGAAGTCTTCATCTATAAAAATTCCTTTTTGAGTGTACTTCTTTTGTTTTAGCAGACATTTTTTGCCACAGTTCTATTCTATTTAGGACACCTAAAACAGTTCATCTCTCAAACTGTCTTCTTTCGTCTCTGCCTTTTCCCTTTACTATTAGAAAACAGATTAATGTGTGTTTAACTGAAAATAGACTGATGTTTTTATCCATTGAGTATTTTGTTTTGTTCTTACTTGTATAGACATATTGCTATAAATGGTTAATTTAATACCTCACATTTTTGAGGTCCTGAGATTATTTAATTTATCCTTTTTTCAAAGGTAATGGGTCAATTTTGGTCCCTGACTTTTAAGCTTCTACTTAAATGAAATTTATCCAGGCTAATGTTTTTAAAGCGTTTCAAACACACGCTGCTCTTTTGTTCTACCTATGTATATAGTGTTATCAGAATCAAAGTGTGTAGGTTCACAGGGTCAGTGATAGGACCTCAATTAAATTAGAGATTATTTGCATTTGATGACTGATCAAACACTAACGTAGGTTACCTCTCACTGCAGATTAATATCGTAACATTAAATATTTTTCTGCACCTCCACCCTAACTCAGACACAAATATCTGTTCACTTGGGATTTTCCTTCCTTGCTTTGTTTAGGTTCTGGGAATTGAGCCTGGAATAATGGAGATTGCTTCTATTTTTTTTTTCCATTTATTTATTTAAAAAAAAAGTTGATTTGTAAGACAGAACTTTAAGAACATAACTTTACATGTGCATGCTGGTGTTCCTAGTAAAGCCAAACATGAGAGTCCTACTAACACCCATGAAAGAAAATAGGGGTTGCATTGTGGGTGTCTAAGTAGCTGTATTTATATTGAAGGATGGGATTGGAGCGCTGGATATAGAGAACCAGTCTCTGTATTATTCTGAGTTTTGATGTGTCATGGCTCCCTGTGAGCTCTCTCACTGTAGTTATGGCAAAATGTGCAAAAACAATTAATTTGCAATAAACAAATACAAGTTGAAATAATGCTAATCGTTTGTATTCGATTGCGGGGTATGATTGCATATTCTGGCACTCCTGTATACATAAGTGCCAGTGTGAAGGGGTTATTGGAAAAAAACGAAAGTTCTGGTTGGTCTAAAAAGCATTTTCTCCACACATATAGGTAGGAGGATTGGAGAGGTTAATGTGATGAGGTGCATGTGGCAGGGTGAAGAGTAGTTAGTGTTGCAGAGTGATAGAGCATGAGTGTGACAAGGCTTGGGATGATTGTAATAGTGCGGGAGTAGGGGAGTGTGACAGTGGCGGGAGGTGAGTGTGGTGAGGTTGGAGGGGTTGAGTGTGACCGGATTAGGAGGAGTTAATGTAAGTGTGGCATGTTGAAGAGAGGTGACAGTGTGTGGAAGGGTAACATTGTGTGGCGGATGGTTATAGTGTGTGGGGAGGCTGTGTTTCAGTGACCAGCATCCTCAAACTGAAATATCTTCTTTTTTTTTTAATGTATTAATCGATTACCTGATGGCCCAGTTGGCTCCCTGATAGTGCAGTGGGCTAGCCATCTAGTCTGCAACTCCATTGGTTGCATAGTGGTAGACCATAATGTTGGTGTATTACGAGCTCCAGCACTTGATGTGTCTGAGCATTGCTGTGATAATCTGAGGCAATGCTCTGATTGGCCAGAGCTTGCTGACACCTACTTCACGGTCTGCACCTTTGCACCTGGCAGAGCTCCAGAATCAGTCTGTTCTAAGGCAAGTTAGGCAGCTGCGATGCCCAAGAGAGCAAGAGACTTTAGGAGACCGTCTGACTCGCCTAATTAAAGAGCCAACTCTGCTTCCATGTCTATCTTCCTCCAAGTCAATGACACTAACATAAGCTCTACTTATGGTAGAGCTGCCTTGATTCCAAACTCTCCTTCACCCCTCACATCCAGTCAATCGCCAAATTTTGCCTCTTCCATTTAAAAAACATAGCTTGCTTGCACCCCTACTGTTGTGGACAAGATATTAACCCAATTCATATTAATACAATGCCTATTTACTCAGCATAACCACAATCAGCATTATTCAACCTTATACGTGATTTACCTAAAATGGCCGCTAGGGAGTTTCCCTTTGACATCGACTAACACCCTCATTAACAAGATGGTGCTGGAATCTGGGGGAGACCTCCAAGATACCAGTGACATCACACCCGGTAGGAAGGGCACTAAATGAACCACTTAACACCTAACCAATTATTAATGTATTAATTCATGTTATCTCTGACAATGCATATGATGTCATTTTGCTTTATAAGGGGCATGCCATCCCCCCAGAATAAACTTTCCTCAAGTTTTTCATTAACCCAAAACCTGTGTCTGGTGTGAATTACTTCAGGAGCGTGCACGCATCTTTTAAAATTTGGCCGGGGGGCAGATACGCAAGATAATCAATTAATTGATTGATTCCACATCATTTGGCGTCCAACGTGGGGCACCGTGTTTCGCCGGTTCGGACGGCCGGAAAGAGGGACAACCGGAGCCTGATCACCTCCTAAATACAGTGGTTTGTCTGTATTCTCCTGTTTTGTGTCGGTCTGTCTCCGTGTCCACTTCCGGCTTCCAGAAGGCTACATGACAGGTAATCTCTTATCCGGTGCCCTTTTAAAACAAACCTGTCGATTGTCTATCTGCCTCCTGAGTATGTGTGTGCGTGTGAGACAGCTGGTGTGTGGTTTATATTTTATTATAATAGCTTGACTGCCTAGCGGGCATGGAACGCATCCGCCTGGTGAGGGGCTGGAAATTTATTATAGCTTGACTGCCTAGTGGGCAGGGAACGCATCCGCCCGGTGAGGGGCTGGTAATTTATTATAGCTTGAGTGCCTAGCGGGCAGGGAACGCATCCGCCCGGTGAAGGACAGGGAACCGCCTGGAGAAAGGCTGGGAATTTTGTTGTACTGTTCAGAGCAGAACAGGGTTTTATTTACTGTTTAGTTGTTACTATGCTCATTGTTATATTGTTCTTTATTATATTATGTTTTTTATTTAATTGTGGCCATAGTGTGGGTACCCTCGCTGTGTGTGTGTGTGTGTGTGTGTGTGTTGTGTGGCTCATCCTTGATTCCGGATTATGTGTACATCTCTACATCTGTGACTCTTGTAAATGTCTTCTGATTAGTCTCTCCACGTTCAACTTTTCCTTCATTCTGTACCTCTTCTGTACTTTTTACCCAGAGCTGTGTTAGTCACCCACGCTCGCCTGCTCAGATCCGTGGCCACCATCTCGGGTGGGCGGATCCCGTGACTAGTCTGCGTTTAGGGAAGATGCACAAAGATCAATTCCTCGTGGCAGTCGAGCACTGTAGACATTCCTTCTTTTTTTCTCTCTCTCTCTCTGTCCCTCTTACGTGGGAAGCCTTGTTTGGTAAAAATGGGACAAGAACATGCCAGACCTTCCAAAGGCTACTTAGCTTGTGACATAGTTAAGTAGAGAGCAAGAGAAGAGGCTATGTTAAAAATAAAGAAAATAGCAAAGATTTGTGGCTTCCAAATGTCACCCAGTGGTAGATTACAGCCAGAATTTTGGAGGAAATTGCTTACTGACAAAGAGGGCTTATTGTTGGATAATGGGTTAACGAAAGCCGTGGATGCTTGGTATCAGGTGGCAAGAGGACTCAAGAGGGAGGGTTGGTTAGAGGAAGAACTAGATTTTGGAGGACAATCAATTTATGTATATCACAGAAATGTTTGTAATGATGATTCATCTCTTGATGTTCCCCAGCCACCGCCCTATGATGGCGCCAAACACAATGTGAAAGAATCTGGCTCCACCTCCCCAGCCACTACCCAGTCGTCACCTCCAATTGGCGTAGGCTCCTCTGTCCCCACCCCTCTGTTCCCGGTCCTCGGGGCGGACTGATCTTATTACTATACCGTCCCTCTCCCACATCCCTCTGTCTTTCCCACTGCTCCCGCCCCATTCCCACCTCCCTCTGTCATTCCTACTGTTCCTGTCACTCTCCCACCTCCCTCTGTCATTCCTATTGTTCCCACCTCCTACCGTCGTTCCCACTATCCCAGCCCCTCTCCCACTTCCCTCGGGTCCCGTCTCTCTTCCACCTTCCCCTGTCGCTTCTGATCCCGTCCCTCTTCTACATTCCTCTATCACTTCTTCTGAGATCACCCCTCTCCTACCTCCCTCTGTCATTCCTTCTATTCCAGCTCCCCTTTCACCTTCACCCATTGCCTCCCCTGTCACCCCTCTTGTCCCTCTCCCTGTCATTCCTTCTATTCCTGCTCCCCTCCTGCCTTCACCCGTTGTTCCCCTTGTCACATCTCCCTCTGCCATATTCCCCTTCGACCAATCTTCCTGTGCCATTCCCTCCACTCCTGCATCTCCCTCTCCTCTCCCCCTCACCTCTTCCCTCCCAGTTTCAGCTTCCCCTCCCCTTCCAGCCTCCAATCCCGTAGTCCCTCCCTCCCTTGATCTTTCATCACTCATTTCCGCCCTCTCTGCTCCCTCTCCTCTCCCCATCACCTCTTCTGACCCAGTTTCAGCTTCCCCTCCCCTTCCAGCCTCCAATCCCATAGTCCTTCCCTCCCCTGATCTTTCATCACTCATTTCCGCCCTCTCCGCTCATCTCCCTCAGCTTACTCAGACCCCATCACCTCCGGTTATGACTATCACTTCCCCTCCCAGCACCCTTCCAACCATTTCCTCTTCCGCCCCCTCATCCATTCCAGTTCCTGTCTCCACCTCCCTCATGGCGGCTCCCAGTTACCCAATCATGATAGTTGGGTCGAATGAATCTGTTGCATCGGAACAACCTCATTCTGTAGTCGCCTCTCCTGCTACATCAGGCTTTCATCCCACTACCTCTCAATTAGTTACTCTCCAGGCCATTGCTGTTGGTTCCCCCAACTCCGATGCTCCGGCCGCTCAAGCCCCTAATTCACAAGATGCTGCCAGCTACCACGGTCTCCCGTTCCCGATTCCCCCCGAAGATGACAACGTGCAGGGGCTCAGCCCATTCCGCCCTGCAAATCATAGGGTTTCCCAGAGACAGGCCACCCTGGCCAATCACATCCACACCTTATCAACTGTGGAAGGGGCACCCCCAATGTATGTTACTTTCAACCCATCTCAAGCTGCAACCCTAATAACACCCCTCCCCGACCCTGAGAAACACCCCATGCCCTTCTTTCGGAGGGTTGCCCAGATTCGCAAGACATACTCAGCTGCCTGGCGCGATCTGTTTAGTCTGTGTGAGATCAAAGCTGGGGATGCCTATTGGCCCATTATGCAAAGGAGTTTTAATGACGCTCTCCTCACTACTGATATGGATTTTCAGTCAGGTATCACATTCTGTGAACAAGATAAACTAGCTGACCAAGCAATTGTATAAATGATATTATACAAGATAAACTTGAGTCTGTGGAGAAGTAGCATTCACGGTTGACTCTTTCTCTCATCTAGGATTCAGTGTATACAATAAGGCACATACCCAAATGTTATCAGCGGCCTTTGTTGCGGGCCTTAAGGAAGCCCTCAGGAAAGGCTTAGTGCTTTCCCGCCCTGAATATAGAATTATTCCTCTAGACACTCTCCTTTTGGTTGCTAAAGGCCTAGAATCTGCACACCAGCCAACCCAAAGGAAAAGTAATCCCCTTTTGTTTTCCTTTTTTAGTCCTACCACCAGACCCGCCCCAGCACCCACAGGGTATCCTGTGCCAGCTACACAGGTACAACACCATACACACACACCTAGGTCTCAGACCAGGGCTTGCTTTAATTGTAACCAATTAGGTCATTTCAGGAAAGATTGTCCACACCCCAGAGTGCCTAGACAACAACAGCCGGCCACTAGACCACCTAATCCTGTGTTCAACTATCCTATGTACCCCTATGCCCCTGCAATCACACATAGTTGCCTCCAGCCAGGTTACCCTCCACAGGTATATCCTCAGGCACATACTTCGTATTACCCTCCTCAGGAATGTACCCAAGCTGCCTGTCAGCCACCTCCAGCTGATGATCACCCTCCACACCGCAGCTATGTTCACAATTCCCCTGATAATTATGATACAGATGATTATCAACAAGATGACCGTCCGGTACCCAGTCAACATCGCCCTACACGTCAGACTCAGCAGACCAGTCGCTTCACCTCACCCACATGTCACTACACTGGCCCTGATCAATCTCATCTAGACCTCATACAATAGGTAACTGGTAAACCTGTGTCTAGCACCCCTGTCATGGCAGTGTCTACAGGGGACAAAGGGGGGCCTCTCGCTACAGTAGTCCTACCCGTAGAGGGTCATCCTACTACCTTTTTAGTTGACACAGGTGCAGCCCGCAGTGTTCTCAGAGAACAAGACCTGCCTGACTCATCTTACCTATCCGACACAGATGTCTCTTGTGTAGGTGTCGATGGTATCCCTAGAAACAACCCATTAACTAAGCTCTTGCGGGTGGGTTCAGACATTCTCTCACGGTTTGTCCCGTCTTCAAGCTTCTATCTCCTTCACCGCTGATGGCCAGGTTCAATTATAAACCCCCCTTTCTCGCAAAGATACTTCTGTTCTTTGCTCTTTGCCCCTACTGTTACACATGACTTCCCCCTCTGAGGAGGTAAGGGTCCCAGATGCCCCCAGTGCCCTGGATAGGGTCCCAACCAAACTTTGGTCTACAGGCCCAGATGACATTAGACGCCTAAGAGTCCCACCCATGGTTGTCACGCTACTAAAGGGAGCTAATCCACCACGAAGACCACAGTACCCATTAAAGCCTGCACAAGCCCTTGCCATCTCCAAACAACTTGAAAGTCTGTTGGCAAAAGGTGTTCTGGTAAAGTGTGTGTCAGTGTGTAACAGCCCTCTATTTCCAGTGAAGAAGAAGACTGAAAAAGGCCAACCTGACCAATACCGTATGGTTCAAGACCTCCGCACTGTTAATGATGTCACCAACCGAGACACTGTTGTTGTCCCGAATCCACATACACTGTTGTCACAAGTCCCTCCAACAGCTAAATTCTTCACTGTGGTTGATCTTGCAAATGCCTTTTTCAGCGTGCCCTTCGATCCCTCTTGCCAATATCTGTTTGCTTTCACACATGATCGCCAACAGTACACTTGGACTGTCATGCCTCAAGGTGCACAAAATTCCCCTACTCAATTCGCCAAAGCTATGTCAACTGTCTTAGAACCTTGGCAGAAGTCTCACCCTGACGTGGTCCTGCTCCAGTATGTGGATGATTTACTTCTCTGTGCGGATGATCTTCCAACTGCTGAACAAAATTCCGAAGATCTCCTTTGTTTCCTCGCTGAAGAAGGATGTAAAGCCTCCAGAACTAAACTTCAGTGGTGCCGGCCCTCTGTGGTCTTCTTGGGACATTGCTTTTCCCATGGCACCCGTCACCTAACAAAGAACAGAGTACTTGCTATTACAAATCTCTCTCTCACATATACTCATCAAGCTCTGCATGCCTTCTTGGGCCTCATCACATACTGCAGGTCTTGGATCCCTGAGGCTTCTCAGCTCATGCAACCTCTCTATGATGCCTTGAAGACTGAACCATTTTCATTGTCTTTAACAGCTCGCTCCTGCTACTACGCCCTTTAAAGGGCCATCTCCTCTGCCCCAGCTTTGGGCCTACCTAACTATCCGCAGCCATTCAAACTTTTTGTCTCTGAAAAGATGGGCCATGCTTCAGGGGTCCTTACACAATCACATAGTTCCCGTCAACACCCTATTGGTTATTTTTCATGCATGCTGGACCCTGTGGCTCGAGGCGGTCCTTCTTGTTTATGTGCTGTTTTTGCTGCCAGTGCTCTGCTGGACAAAACTTATGACTTTGTTCTCGGACATAAACTCACTGTCCTTGCTCCCCATGATATCACGGCCATCCTAAATCAAGTCCAACCGAAACATCTCTCCTCCCAAAGACACCTCCGTCTTTAAACCTCCCTCCTCTTGCCTGATAACGTCACTCTACAAAGATGTTACTCTTTGAACCCGGCCACTCTTCTGCCACTTCCCAAGGGGGGAATACCACAATACTGGTACAGTCTGGACATAAATCCTGATGTTCATATGGAACTTCAAGTGAAAAAACCCATGGTTCCACATGATGAACAACCTGAGGGCTACTTACATTGCACCCTGTGGTTCAGGAATACCCCAGGTCCTGACCCATACTATGAAGAAGAATTATTTAGCCTGGTGGAAATACGCATCACCCTGACAGACCTGTTTTGTGACTCCAGAGGAAATATTGTTATCTTGGTCTACCTGCCCATGGAAGTATCACATTTACACCACCACTGGAAGGTGGCAGTTCCTCATATATCTTTCACCAAATCTCCAAATCTCTCATGGAAAGAACTCGGCCCAAGAACAAGAACTCAGCCACAACTCAAGAACAGCTCACATTGACGGGGGTCACTAAAAGGACCATAAATTATAAAACAGTCGGTTACCCTCGATATCACACAGAGATATGTGAAGACATCCCTCCTACAGAACAGGACCCGGATGCCCCTCATGACTGTTTTGAACAGATGAAAATGGAGATAACCCATCTCCCAACGGTGCACGAGGCTGCTCTGCCAGATCCTGACTTCACTGGATATGCTGTCACCACAGAAGACCGAGTACTCCAAGCATCTTCACTTCCATCATCTAAGTCAGCACAAGAAGCCGAACTAATAGCCCTTACAGCAGCATGTAAGATGTCTGAAGGGAAGCGTGCTAATATCTATACAGACTCAAGGTATGCCATTGGTGTAGCTCATGATTTTGGCTTAATCTGGAAAACAAGGGGGTTTCTTACAGCAGCAGGTACTCCGGTGAAACATGGCGCAGCTATCAATGAATTAATGGATGCCTTACTGCTTCCTGAAGAGGTGTCCATATTGAAGGTAAAGGCCCACGGAGATTGAATTCAGAAGAAGCATGTGGCAATTACTTAGCCGATCAGGCTGCTAAAGATGCGGCACGCCAGTGTCGGGAAGTGGACAGAAGAGTGCCCATTGAACAGACTCCTATTTACACTATGCAAACCCTACCTACTGATCTCAAGTTCCTGAGAGAACAACAGGCCGCTGCCACCCCTCAGGAAAAACAAAGTTGGAAAGATAAAGGGGCAACCCTCCAGAATGAAATGTACACAATCAACCTCAAATTCTGTCTACCCAAGAATATGTACCCAGCTATCGTTCAGTGAGCCCATGGACCAGCTCATTTATCCAAGCACCTCATGAACTCCCTGACTGATAAATATTTTGAGGCACCCGGAATCACTACTTTGACAAAAAATTACTGCAGATCCTGTACCATCTGCACCAGATGTAATCCGGGAAAAATAATTAAAGCTGCACCAAACCATTTGGCCAAGCCACAGTACCCTTTCCAAAGGATCCAAATTGATCATATCCAAATGCCAAAAAGTGGCCGGCAATGAATATGCATTGGTGGATATATTTTCAGGATGGCCAGAAGCTTTTCCTGTCACTAATCTCACTGCTAAGACCACAGCAAAGCGCCTACTTACCAAAATCATCTGCAGATATGGAGTTCCTGAGGTGATTGAAAGTGACCAGGGAACATCCTTCACCGCGTTGCTAACCAAGGAAATCTGGGCAGCACTGGGGGTGACCCTTGCTTTCCACACACCCTATCACCCACAGAGCAGTGGTAAGGTAGAACGCATGAATGGCACCTTAAACGCCAGAATGCTTAAGATGGCCCAAGAAACTAACCTACCCTGGCCGCAAAATCTTTCCATAGCACTATTTAGTGTAAGGTACACTCCAAGAGGGAGACTTAGCTTATCCCCCTACGAGATTTTATTTGGTACAGCACCCAGGTTAGGCTGTTATTTTCCTCAACAACAAATTCAGTCAGATGCAATGGTAGATTATATAACTGCACTCTCTCATGCCTTGACCAAAATCCATGCACAGGTGTTTTCTTCTATTCCAGATCCAGAATCAAACACAGGCACACATAAACTCCTTCCTGGTGACTGGGTTATGGTCAAGAAATTCCTGAGAAAGCACACTCTTGAGCCAAGGTTTGATGGTCAATTCCAAGTCCTATTGACCACGTCTACCTCGGTAAAATTGGCTGGGAAGAATACCTGGATACACGCCTCACACTGTAAGAAAGTTCCTGATCCAGAGGAAGCAGATCCTGCTAAACTATGAGCTTCCTGTGTCTATTAATTCTGCTAGGCCTATTAAAGGCCCAACAATTTGCTATCACCAAAGATAATCGTGTTTACACATTCTGGTATAACTCTTCAAACACACATGTAGCTACTTTTACCTTTGATTACTGTGATATTGTTCCTTGTACTTCTTTACAATCACAACACTCAGCAATATTACAAAGACATACCCAATAGAAAGGACCCATACATTTGTGTGACAGGTGACCATTGGGGACATCATTGTAGTACCTGGAAAGCAGCAGGTTGGAACATAGGCCGACCATGAGGCTACAGACCACAAAGCGCCTTGGATAGGGTGGACAGACATGGGAAACCCTTATTACACAGAATGACCTTATGTAAGCCAACAGGGTCTACCCCAATGAAACTCACCTTAAACATAGAACATCCCAGCCTAGGAGACACTGGAGAGTACGTAATGGGGATGTACTGGAGAGGGGGTGGCTCATATGACAAGTTGGGGACCTTCTATTTACAAGACATGCATACATCACCTGACTGGGTAGACTCTACACACATGACCACTAACCCTCTAAAACCACACATTAAAACTCTTAAGGACATGGTGGCAATTGCCAATCCTACATTCGAGGACACTATGGCTGTGGAGACCGGTTTTTCAGATACCAACCTATGGCTTGAGTGGATGAGGTGTAATGCTAATTCACACAATAAAACTAACTGTTATGTCTGCGGCGGGGCCAGACCCCATCTGGGTACAGTGCCATTTAATCCCCCGATGTTGAGATGTGTTTTCTAAGCCTCTATGTACAATCAGCCACAAACTCATCAGTATGTGAATCATGGAAAAAGGTATATCCAATAACTCAAGGGAATCTCAGGCCACCTGATGGAATCACCGTGTATCCAGGTAATTACACTTGCTACACTATACACGGAACCACGGATAAATTTGTGGGTAGTTTCCCTCCCGGCTACTGTGCCACCTATTGGAAACCTCCCACTACCTTATTGGTAAATCAAGTCAAGTCCTTGTGAGACATTTATTGGCTATGTGGTGATATGCAACTCAGATCTAAAATGACTGGCCTGTGGTGGGGAGAATGCACTCTGACCAAAGCCATCATGCCTATACATATAATTTCTGATAACCACCAAGGCCCACTTGATTCCCCACACATGTACTTCAGGATAAAAAGAGAAACCCCTATTCAAGGTAGTTTTGACCCACATATATGTATATCGATGCCATAGGTGTACCAAGAGGGGTACCAAACGAGTTCAAGGCCAGAGATGAGGTTGCGGCAGGATTCGAATCCTTGATCCCACTCATTACCGCTAACAAGAATGTTAACTGGATTAATTATATCTATTATAATCAGCAACGTTTTGTCAATTATACTAGAGATGCCCTCCAAGGCTTGGCAGAACAATTGCATTCCAGAATCGAATGGCCTTAGACATGATCCTAGCAGAAAAGGGGGGTGTGTAAAAATTAGAAAGTCTCTCTGACGAATTAAAAAAGAACTCAGGGGTCTCCAATTCATGGGACAGATGGTTGGGATGGATGAGTGGATGGCAGAGAGTTCTCTTTCAAGTTGGTATGGCAGTTCTTACAGTAGTGATTCTCCTCCTCTTCCTGGTTTGCTGCGTGATGCCCTGGGTGCAAAGGTACTTACAAAAGACTGTAGATCAGACCATTGACCGCACCACACCTACATTCCTACATCAAGATATTGACGATATAGACTGTGACACCCCACACACACCTCTTCAGTCCCTCCACCCCAAAAGGACAACTACTTCTTTATAGGAACAGTGTCTGTCTCCATGGGTAGGAGTCTGACGCGGGAAATGTAGTGGGTTAGCCACTACGGGATACCCGCGCAGTGAAGCGTTCGAGGCTTGTTCAGACAGATGAGCTGCAGCCAAGTAGGGACATTGTTAGGGTCAGTTAGTAGTTGTCTCTTTAGTAAAGTCATTTTAAGGGGGGGACTGTTGTGGACAAGATATTAACCCAATTCATATTAATAAAATGCCTATTTACTCAGCATAACCACAATCCACATTATTCAACCTTATACGTGATTTACCTAAAATGGCCGCTAGGGAGTTTCCCTTTGACATCGACTAACACCCTCATTAACAAGATGGCGCTGGAATCTGGGGGAGGTCTCCAAGATACCAGTGACATCACACCCGGTAGGAAGGGCACTAAATGAACCACTTAACACCTAACCAATTATTGATGTATTATTCCATGTTATCTCTGACAATGCATATGGTGTAATTTTGCTTTATAAGGGGCATGCCGTCCCCCCAGAATAAACTTTCCTCAAGTTTTTCATTAATCCAAAACCTGTGTCTGGTGTGAATTACTTCAGGAGCGTGCACGCATCTTTTTAAATTTGGCCGGGGGCAGATACGCAAGATTATCAATTAATTGATTGATTCCACATCACCTACCAAACAACAGATGTGGCTAGGGTGCTTGTCCAGGCCTCTATCATCAAAAACACTTTCTCAAAAGCCATTGTATGGTGAAAAGCATTAAGTGTATTTAAATATTGTTTTATATAGTTATTTTACCCTTTTTTTTTAATCATTTATTGTTTTTTATTAATGATTCCTGTACTCCATATCCTTGGTGAGGATAATACCACCTAAGCCTGTTGGACAGAGCAATCCCTATTTGCTCTATCAAGTGTGAGTAGTTTTTATCTATTTCATTTTATCACTTTTTAGAGTCTACACTATTGTGGTTTTATTTTCTCTTTTACTTATATAATCGGAGAGAGAGACCAACAGCACCTATATCCTGGAGTGGGTATCATACCACTTCAAGCCATACCTGTGGAGCCATGCTATAGGCTCCCATACACTTGAGTGCACATCTTTTATAGCTATATATTTTAATATTGAGTCTGGCATATTGTACTATATATCTCAGATTTCTCCTACATATGTGCAAGAGAAGTTGCATCCACAAGAATCTCCTATAGAGTCTGTACTCCACAATATCCTCAGGCGGGGATTATTCCACCCAAGCGTCTAAGTTGGAGCTGCACCTAAGCTCCTATATAGTGTGAGTGCATATCATTTTATTTACCCTAACCTTATTGTATTTTTTACATACTTCAGTTTCCTATTTCTCCTCCTTTTTATGGTTATATATACACACTCCAAGGACATTCCAGGCGCTGCATCTTCCTCTCTGTTTTTCTCTATCATCTCCCGCCTTGACTACTGAAAACCACTTCTCACTGGTCTTATAATCTCCCAGCTAACGGGACTAAGATCTATGATGAATAATGGCTTATCTTCCTGTCCTTCCATGCCTCTTCCTTTTGGCTGTCCCACATTGAGTTCCCATAGGATATAGGGATACATACAAAATTCTGATTCTCACTTACAAATCTCCCTCATATGATTGTTCCTATCTACTTATCTCCCTCACTAATATCTCCCTTCCAGGCCCCTACACTCTGCTGAATACCTGTGTCTATCCTCTGTTCATATTTGCACCTCGCCCACCTCAAGACTTCTCTAGGGCTTCACAATTCCTTTGGATCTCCCTTCCTGCTCCATTAGGCTCTCACCTAGTCTCCATTCTTTGGAATGGAGAACAGTACATACAAATGCATGCACACACATACTCCATACAAAAACATGCTTACATGCAGACACACAAACACTGCTCACAAATACAATCCTCAACGATGGGCAAATAGCAAATCATTGTGGGAGTTGTATGAAAGATGGCTATCTACCTTTTGGTCACCCTTGCGCTAGACGGGACCCAAAAATATTCTTGCATCAGGTTACTCTCTACGTTAGTTCCACCGCTATTTATGGGTGTTTTTCTTTAATGGTACAAAAAACTAGATTATAAAATATTCCCTGGTGACAACTACCTATATATCATGCTAATGACACAACTGTTCTGTCACAGATGTTTATATATGTCATCTAAGGTAGCTGCAGTAACATAGTTTAAGTATTTAGACATCTGCTTCTGATTACAAGTGGAACACACACAGGTAATGAAGATACAGGCAGAATGGAGGCATTATAGATCTTCATCGCAAAAATGAAAAAAACTCCTCTATGGCATAAAAGTAAGCATCTTATCAATTCGAAGGCTTTATACGTTCCTAAATGACACTGTCTCTTTGGAAGCAATGTGTCTCAAAATCTTTATATGTGGTAATTATTAATATTTTATTATTTATATAGCTAATTCCGTAGCGTTGTACAATTGGTTATCTCTCCTTGAGTTTATTATTTATTTATTTATTTTTTGAATAGGTATAATATAAATAAAATAATTAAAATGCAGAGAGTCAGTATGAAGCAAGACAATTACTCCGATGCTTTAATTTTTACATACTTTATTTATTTTGATGCTTTTATTATAGCCAAAGGATATTTTAGGGCCATTCATTGGAGGTCAGCGTCAGGGAAGATTGACAGTACAATCTATTGTTCATAATAAGATCATGAACTTTAATTTCTTGGCACAAATGATATTACAGTGAATATCCTGTGTGGTCATACATAGAATATGTTGTGTATCTTATTATATTTTGTGGTTTGTTATTGCATGACAGTGATGTTTTTTCCCAATGCCCTACTGCCTTTAAGGTTTATATCAAGGTTTGCTTCATATAGTTTTGAATTTTCACAAGCTATTAACGTCTGTGCTCTGTTTTATCTCATCCTTTATGCCATGGCAGCAAAGCCAACCTGGTTGTTCCCAAAGTCATAGACAGAGTAGTACTGACGAAGGAAGACGTCTCCCAGAATCCAGAGTGGCTGTCCATTACGGGAAGGCAGATAGGTTTCCTCAAACCCGACAACACAATATCCATTCATCTATAAGGTAGAGGTTTAAGTTAATAGATGCTATCACATCTGTTCTGTTTTCTAGTCATATAGATATTAATACATGTATCAATTTTAAAGATTGTGATTGGGACCAGCATCAGGGGGAAGATATTACCACAATAGCACTTATGCGTTTCATGCCTCACGAACACTTCATCAAAGACTGCGTCCATGAGGCATGAACCGTGTAAGCGTTATGGTGGTGGCGTCTTCCCCATATTGCTGCTCCTAGACATGATTTGCTATGAAGAAATAAAGGTAATACTTTTTTCATTTATTTTGCACTTCTCTGGGCAGACGATTCACCTGATCTACATTTAGCAATTTTAATTTTTTTTAAACAATCTTTATTTTTGTTTTCATAAGGTTGCGAACAGAGGACTTTGCTCAACAATCAACAAGTAGGTCACTGTGACATCCTTTTATTATACAATTTCAAAGGAAGCTACAGGTATATGTCATATATATGCAAGTTGTCCATCACGATCAATCAACATTTATATGTTCCCATACAAAATAGACCAGATGGGCTGCAGTAGCCAATGGGGGCAGTTGGGGATCAGAGCAATACTATCGCCAACAGTGGTACGAAGCTCTAGTCTGTCTATCGTCATGTCCGGTTCGTCAATAGCTCTGGGTGTGTGAGTAATATGTTACACTTGTGTAGAATGTGGGTTCAGGTAGTACATTTTGGCAATTTTAGTTATGGGCTGAGAACCTGTTACATCCCATGTGCATAAATTGAGTGAAAACCTTAAGGGTAACTTTGGCAAATTTTATATTACATAATATAGTATCAATTTGCCTGCAGGCTACAGTTTGTGGAGGCAAGCTTGAAACTGCTACGTCTATAATTCCAAATAGGTAACGTGGCAAATTATAGTATTCCATCAAATCTATGTTTTTAGACAGGGTAATCTATTTTCAGTGTGTAATACATTTCCATTACAGTATGAAAACTCTAGAAAAAGAATTTAAGATTTACTGTTACCTGAAGAATATATCCAGAAGGTGGAATTGATAACTGGGTTCCACCAATGGTAAAGCTGATGGGAGGAAGGCTCTGTACATTGTTGCAGTTGACTATATACTAAGAAAAAAATATATAAAGTTGTTTAATGAATATGGTCATCACAGTGCATACAGTGGTTGCCCCCCAAATAAAGGATGCAGATGGGATCTTTCACTTTGACTCTTTGCTACTGACAGTGGCATAAGAATTAGCAGAGTATTTTAAAAAGCAGAGATGACATTTGACATCGTTACACTGTAAATTAAAGGAACACTATAGTGTTAGAAATACAAACATGTATTTCTAACTCTGTAGTGTTGGACTACCTAGTTAGATGCCCCCCCTCCACCCAGAATGGATGTTGCGCCATGGTTGTCCATGGCTGAGACCATCCTATAGGAAAGCAATGGTAGGCTATTTCACATGCATGGCAAAACACTGTGTACTGGCTTGGGAACCACTGTTCTATAAAATAATAATTATCTAAGTTTATTAATATATTAATTTGTTAGTTTGTTTATTTATAAGATTGTGCAGTTTTGTAACAAAACATTTTATTTATCTGATGTTAATTTTGGACTTTCCATGCCACCTATACAGAAGAGCGAAGTGTGTGTTTTCAATGTCAGTGAACTTACGTTTCCATTCTCTGCTTGCTGAGCACCAATGTACTGAAGAAGGGAGCTCAGATATTGCTGTGGAATAGTTAAAAGAGGGGTTCCAGTGTCGACGATGCCTTGGCATCCTTGACTGCACCAGCCAGTGGCCTGACCATTAACAGAAAACCTGAAGGATATTGACTCACACTGAATTAATGCAATGCAATTAAAACCTCTTTCTGCAAAGTAGCAATCTGTAGGCAATTGTTCCTAAGTCACCAGAAAAGTCTATGGGTATTTTTTCTAGATAATCATTGGATATGTTTTTCTAACAGATTGGGATCATTTGAAAAGCAGATCCAAAAATTTTAAATCACGGTCATAATTAGTGAGTTGAAAAAATATATCTATTGATTGTTTATGTAGAAGGCAAACTTTTCTAATTAAAGATAATTTAAATTTTTACTAAAATTGGAGAGAACACATCATTTTTCTAATAGCGATCAGACTTTTCTTTGGATCAACAGTCAACTTGATTTTTAATAAGTGGTAAGACTAAAAAATATAAATGCTGTGATCTTATGAATTTAAGAATTTAGTGAAAAATATGTAGCAAAAAAAAAAAGAAATTCGAAATGGGGAAAAAAGCAATATGTCCGATTTTCATATATTTATAACAACAAAAAGATTAGGAACTGCATTCATTTATATGAGCAAAAAAAGGGGGGAAGGCCTTGGGGTAGCACACACCCCAAATAGTTGAATCCAATTGAGAAGAAAGAGCCCCAGGCATTCAAAGACCCATTGTAGGGTCGAAATCTTGCCTGGACCTTTTTCTTCTCAATTGTGTCTGATTTTCATGACGATAGTCTAGTACAAAACAATAGTAGATAATAGATGTTGGGGTCTAGTAAGAGAGGGTAGGGCGACGTTTCATGCTGTGACCAATCTGTAGAGATGATGACTTCCTGCTTTGCCAAATAATACTAGGCAGTAAGGTACTTTAGTCTAGATCAACCAGTAGCAAGAAATATGGCTTAAAGAGAAGTAAGAACATGAACCATGAAGAAAGGAGTAGGGGCAGGGTGGTTATAGAGTTAGGGTAGATGGAAGGAGGAGAGAGGTAGAGACATAATGACTTAAGTAAGAACAATTTAGATGTAGTTAAGAGAATTTGATGGCTAAAAATAGGAGGTATACAAAGCAAAAGGAACATCATGACTTGAAGAGAAAGAAATTGGTAGAGAAACTTTATCGTAGCTTAAGGCACATTAGAGAAGTAGGCATGGTAACCAAATTAAGAGAAAGAAATAAAGAGGGAGATAATGGCTGATTAGAATAAATAAGTGTTGTATTATGGCTGAATAAAATTCAGAAGAACATAACTGCGGAATATTTGAACACAAGCACTAGATCAGGGCAGACAATACTCTGCATATGTCCCCACTGCAAGAGACTGGACACTAAATCCCATTTTCAAGTGACAAATAGCCAGGGGAGGTGGGAAACAGGGCAGTGGGAGGTCTCAGGTCTCTTCCAACAGCTCTTTCTGCTTATAAATAAAAAATCAATAAAGAGCTCAGTGTAAGCCCAATGCAAGGTCATGGCAGAACTATCCTAAATGTTTTTAAAACAGGCCCAATGTATAGTGTACAACAGGCATGTTACTGATAGGTCATATGAGCTATGCCAGTTCTTCTTTCAATCATATTACATACTATACATTTTATTATAAATGGACCAGCAAAGCATAACTGTTTAGTAGATAAACAACTGTCTAGTAAATAAATAGACATTTTATACTGTTTATACAGTCTTTCACACATTAGTAATATACCCTTAAATTTTTATTCTTTTACTATATATAGCAACAGCATAACTAGCCTTATTTATTTATTTATTTATTTATTTATTTATTTAGGTGTTTGTGTCTTTTTTTAAAATTGGACAAGTTAAATTGAAGAAATGAAATACAGCAGAAATAATTATAATAAAAGTAAACCAGCACATTGGACCACACAAATATTGGCCCTCATAATTTAAACTTACTCTTCAATAGCTATCTGCCAATAGATCTCCTGAGTGACCGGAGTCCAGGAAATCTGTCCAGAATAAAGGCTGCTGTCTACTCCACCAAAGATCACTTCCCCTGACTGACTGGGAAGATAAGAGTGAAAATAATTTTTTTTTGACATTAATTGTAATAATGCTGTTTGTCAAAGCACATACATACCTCCCAAGTATACTCCTATTGGAAGACAGTTCATCCCTGAAGCAATAATCCCTCTGTTCCTCTCTCCTATTTGGTTGCACTCTGCATTTAACCTGATCAACATTCATTCTTTTAAAAAACACATCTTATTTTTCTCATATCCTTTTTATCTCCTATATTCTCTTACTTTGTTGATATTCCCATTGTCCTCCTCATAATTCTGTACAAGTCCCTTAGTGCTATTCTTCATCCACCCAATATTCCAATTCTGCTCAGATCTAGGGATATTTTCTTCTCTGATTTCATTCATATTGTCTTCCACCATCATACATCTCTTTATACTGTTGTACCCTCTGTCATCAGTACCATATTCTCTTGCCTTGATGCACTTACCAACTAATGGCCTATTAACTCTATAACCAAAAAAAAAAAAAAATCTGTTTCAACAGTGATCTTAAAGGAACACTCCAAGCCTCATAACAACTTGAGCTTCATTTTCTCAATGGGTGCTCATTGATAGTCTGAGAGCATACACTAACGGATATGCCTTCCTTGTACTGCACAGTACAGAAAAAGAAAGTGGAGTACAGGAGCACCAGGCACAGGAGCCCCAACTTTGGGGCTAAACCATTGCCAAACAGTTTAACTTTTGAAGGTAAAAAGGTGCCCTTACATTCCTGCCCCAATAATAATTTAAATAAGCTCAAGTTGTTATGGGAGTAGAAGTGTTCCTTTAAGAAACACTCTTTTTAATATCACTAGCTGAATGTGTATACTTAGAATCCAAAAAAGAATAAAGTTTTGTGGTTATCCGCAGTCACTAGCAAATGTACCCATCTGTGCTCAGTTACAGAGATCCTTAAAAACTGTGTAATATGACCTGGGGACAATCAACCATGAATGTTGTCCCTCACCCTGTCAGGTAGAAGCTGAAGACTGGCTCTGGGATCAGATTCTGCTGGATTAGTCCTTGCACTGCAGTGGTCGCACCTCCTGCTGACAATGTCTGATAGGCCATCCCAAAGATACCATCGAATTTGGAATAGTAGAAGAAGCTACTTGGCTCAGTCACACTCAGACCCAGTTCCTGGTTCTGTATGGACAATCCTTGTACCTACAGAAAGTAGTTACACAAATGTTATCTGCAGAAGCCCTATTACATTTACTAAGTATAACAAATATTAAATTTGTTATGGCATCTGGAGATTAAAAATTATGCTTTATATCAGGGCTTAAAATCTCAACTCCTACGCTACTAGAATATTTCTTTGGTGCCATTTAAATCCAGTCCTGTTCACCTAAGGATATAATTGGCTACTTACTGTCACTGTGTCATATCCTAGTATGCCAGTCATGCTGCCACTGCCATACCACATGGAAAACTGTTGGTTATTGGAGGTATAAGTGGAGGATTGGCTGGGATTGAACAACGGGTGATTGGCTGAAAAAATGAAAAAAAAATACTTTTCAATGTAATGCACAATAACTATTTAAGAATCAATCTATTATTGCCTATGTATTTATTTATGGATATTTTTATTATTCAAAATGGGTATTCTCTAGTAACTATTTAAAGACTTGGTATAATTGGGCATGAGGCCAATGATTGTCTGTGCACTAGGTAAACTGTAATTTTGGTGTTCTCGTCACAGGTCTTAATAAAGTCTACCAGAACTGCTTAGTACTAAGTTTGGTCATCCATTTCCATCCAATTTTCATCAATTTGTCCATTCTTTCAGAAAAACAAATGGGTGGATATAAATTACAATGAATTAAACAGGGAGAAAATTACTTGTTGGGTAAAATGCTCCTCCTTGATTATTTAAAAATAGAATTACTACTGCTTCCTAGTTACTAATTTACCAACTAGGGGCCCCATAGTGGGGCACCGAGTAAAATATTAAAGTGTGGGGGGCATACCATTAGTTTTCTTTATTTATTTCTATTTCTTTTATCTTCATTTCTTTGGCCCGAAAAAAGGCCAAATAAAAGTCCCACTGTAACTTTTTTTTTTTTTGACAGGAGCTACGTGACTAGGGTTTGGGTACTCTTCCCCACCTGAGGGGAAAACTATATATTTATTATTTATTTAAGTATTTAGAGATTCTACCCTCTGTCAATAGGTGAGGACTGAGGGGACAATAGATACTTTGTTATATTAATTAGAGCCCCTACTCACTGCCAATTAGTGATGGCTGAGGGGGACAAAATGTCTCCCCATGGTTTATTAAATTAGATCCCCAATACGAACACTAGGTACTCCCTTCATTTTATTTAATAGCCCCCACCCAAGGCACTGTTCTGACCATTTTATTATTTTTTTCAGGTGGGGCCATGAGGCAGGAGTAAAACTGTTACTAATAGTAAGTATTTTTTACTTAATTTTTATAAGTTGAAATAGCTTTTCTTAATTTTTATCTATCAGCTGTTTAATAGATAGCTCCCTAAACCTTTGCGTGGGATTACCATAAGGCTACCAAATTAGGGAGCTATCTACTAAACGGCTTCCAATTTTGGTATCCTTAAATATGACGATCCAGCAAGGGTACCAGTTTTGGAAGTTATATGCAAGATAGCTGAAAGATGCAGCTGCGGATTGCGGAATTTAATTTGTCCTAATGAAATTGCGAGTCCAAAATAATGGATGAATTTCCTCTACATCCTACAGTCCAATGGGCCATATTGTTTTTGGACAAACAAAAATGAGTTTTAAGCCAGATCTGAAAAAACAAGTCTACTTAGTACTCCATACAAAATGGATGGTGTTACAAAACAGACAATTGATGTTGGGTGTCATACTGTCATTTACTTCATTGAGTGTCATACTGCAATTTATGTCAAACATTTTTGAGAATATATTACTTCGACTTGAAAAACAATTAACTACTTTCCAAGTTAAGTAGCCATTATTTTTATCACTGCGTGAACTATCTGAAACGTTATCATCATATAACATTATAAAATCATAGGCTTTTTAAATTAAACTATAAAGTTACTATTCCACACTATCCAAAATTGACAATGTGACTTACTGCAGGCTTGGCTTTGGCAATATGAAGAAGCCACCCAAAGATTTGATGAACCAGTGTCAAAGGCAACCAAAAAGTTTTGGGGTGGTGTTCCAATACTGATCTCACCAAAGTAATATGTCTGGAAGAGATCAGAGAGTTATACATATTTGTTGCTGTATAGTATTATCATAATAAAATTAGCAATAAAATAATAACACTCTATGCTAATATAGTGCTATAATAATATGGTAATAAAATAATGATTCATATTTTCCATGAAATACTCACATCCAAGTACATAGGCTCATAGACTACACCAAAGTCATTCTGTTGGAGCAAGTTATATTTAATGCCTGGTTCCCTTTTGTGTGTCTTCACAAACTCCTCCAGAACACCTTTCTCTTTCATAGTCTCTCGAATGGATTTATATCTCTTCAGAGGGACTCTTTAAAATACACAAACATTTCAGATTACCAGAAGTGATTCAACATTTTTATTTTAGAATAATATAATGTCCTATAAATCTCATAGGCTGGGGGAACAATTAAATAAATGACGTAATGCAATACTGTATGGATTCCTTCTACCCAATAGATTTTGCTGTATTTTGTCATTAATATCAGCTAGTTCTCCTGCAAAAACTTTAAAATGCCGTGAGGCTCTCAACCTTAACAGGTTGAACAACACTGTAATAGAAAAGAGTTAAAAGAAAACTGTAGTCCCATTGGCACTCTATTCACACAAGATATAACTCGAGACATCTTCCCCTATAGTATTTCACCACTAATGATAAGAGGATGGATCCTACGTTAATCCTCCAACATCAATCTGTTATTTTATGAACACACACAAACCCTTGGTCAATTACTTTTCATTCAGTCTATGGTCAGGCATATTGCCCACTAATAGACCTCACAGTTGCCCCTTTCCTAGGGCTATCAATGCAACCAAGACCTTGATTAATGTTGTATTTATTTATGTTATATGTATCCTTGTCTTGCTTATTTCAGCTGATTCCAAACATTGTTTTTCTGTTCTATTTTTCCTTTTTGTAGTAAAGAATTTTGAAAAAAGAAAACTGTAGTCCTTAGGAATACTGAATTTTGAAAGTGCAGCTATTAAAAATATGTGATGTATAGGGCATTAATCTAAAAGGTCTACTCAGTAACGTTTGCCAGGACTGGCACACTACAGTCCCTTGCACTGGTGCTCAGGGGTAAGTGGGATGGGGATCATTTTCTCACTTTATTTCTATAGATTTAACAGATGCTGCTGAAAATAGGATGCAGGACATCATATATACCTCCATCACTCCATTAGTATGACCTGCATTCACAGTGAATGTGTTAAGTCTGTGCATGCATTAAACATGCAAACATTGTTTCCTGCAACTCTATTGCCACCATTGATGATCCAAGAATGTTATGAATGTCTTGAGAATTCTGCCAACAGACATCCCAACTGATCTCCAGTTGCTCTTACAACAGAAGTAATGCACTGTAAGACTCTGGGCTTCATGCCCTGCGGGGCAATGAACTGAAGGGTAAATACCCCCCTGACTCCTTTGTTTAGTTTTTTTCCATAAAAAGTTATCAGGGTTCTGCGTTGCAACACATTTTCTTGCTATTATTTTGTGTCCTCTGATAAGTAACACCATTTTGACACATCCCGTCTCTCCATGCATAACTGGAATGATAAACTCACCTCACTAGTCCCTCTGAGAGATGTAGACAAATGAATATGAAGATGATCGGCTTCATGATCAATGGTGTTAGGTCTGCACTGCAACTGCTGCGGAATGATAGTTTGCTACTTATATGTACAAGTACACCCTCATCTTGATATTGTTCCCTGCTCTGTTATCCCATAACCACATGCCCTTATCAGTACACTAAGCCAGAGTGGGTGCCAGAGAAGTCATTCTGATAGGAGCAATCGACTGACCATATTAAACCAATAGAGCTTCTATTAACACAAATATTATAATATGATTCTTATCACTTTCTCATTGTACCTCAACACCTCTATAAAGGAAAGTCGAATTTCACTTTTGTAACCATCGTTTTAAAGTACAACTGTCATAAAACGTTCACTTGTTTTTTTAAAAGATAATTTCAATTCATGAAACTTATTTTCTTTTTTTAAATACTGATTTTTTCATAGAAAATGTCACTTTTTAAACCTAACTCGTTTATCCAGTATTTTAGATGTTCCTTCCCACCATTTAAAAACATAAATTTGAATCGTGTCCAAAAGAGAAGGGAGGGTTTTGTCCATGGATTTAACATCCTTGCTTCCCCAAGGCCAGTTTCCTCTGTTCTATATATATATATATATATATATACAGTTGCAAGAAAAAGTATGTGAACCCTTTGGAATGATATGGATTTCTGCACAAATTGGTCATAAAATGTGATCTGATCATCATCTAAGTCACAACAATAGACAATCACAGTCTGCTTAAACTAACAACACAAATAATGAAATGTTGCCATGTTTTTATTGAACACACCATGTAAACATTCACAGTGCAGGTGGAAAAGGTATGTGAACCCCTAGACTAATGACATCTCCAAGAGCTAATTGGAGTGAGATGTCAGCCAACTGGAGTCCAATCAATGAGATGAGATTGGAGGTGTTGGTTACAGCTGCCCTGCCCTATAAAAAACACACACCAGTTCTGGGTTTGCTTTTCACAAGAAGCATTGCATGATGTGAATGATGCCTCGCATAAAAGAGCTCTCAGAAGACCTACGATTAAGAATTGTTGACTTGCATAAAGCTGGAAAGGGTTATAAAAGTATCTCCAAAAGCCTCCAAATTGTCTATAAATGGAGAAAGTTCAGCACTGCTGCTACTCTCCCTAGGAGTGGCCGTCCTGTAAAGATGACTGCAAGATCACAGCGCAGACTGCTCAATGAGGTGAAGAAGAATCCTAGAGTGTCAGCTAAAGACTCACAAAAGTCACTGGCAAATGCCAACATCCCTGTTAGCGAAGCTACAATACGTAAAACACAAGAATGGATTTCATGGGAGGATACCACAGAGGAAGCCACTGCTGTTGAAACAAAACATTTACAGTTTGCACAAGAGCACCTGGATGTTCCACAGCAGTACTGGCAAAATATTCTATGGACAGATGGAACCAAAGTTGAGTGGCTTGGAAGAAACACACAACACTATGTGTGGCGAAAAAAAGGCACAACACACCAACATCAAAACCTCATCCCAACTGTGAAGTGAATGGTTTGGGGCTGCTTTGCTGCGTCAGGGCCTGGACGGATTGCTATCATCGAAGGAAAATGGAATTCCCAAGTTATCAAGACATTTTGCAGGAGAACCTAAGGCCATCTGTCTACCAGCTGAAGCTCAACAGAAGATGGGTGTTGCAACAGGACAATGACCCAAAGCATAGAAGTAAATCAACAACAGAATGGCTTAAACAGAAGAAAATATGCTTTCTGAAGTGGCCCAGTCAGAGTCCTGACCTCAACCCGATTGAGATGCTGTGGCATAACCTCAAGAAAGCGATTCACACCAGACATCCCAAGAATATTGCTGAACTGAAACAGTTCTGTAAAGAGGAATGGTCAAGAATTACTCCTGACCGTTGTGCACGTCTGATCTGCAACTACAGGAAACGTTTGGTTGAAGTTATTGCTGCCAAAGGAGGTTCAACCAGTTATTAAATCCAAGGGTTCACATACTTTTCCCACCTGCACTGTGAATGTTTACATGGTGTGTTCAATAAAAAAACATGGCAACATTTCATTCTTTGTGTGTTATTTATTTAAGCAGACTGTGATTGTCTATTGTTGTGACTTAGATGATGATCAGATCACATTTTATGACCAATTTGTGCAGAAATCCATATCATTCCAAAGGGTTCACATACTTTTTCTTGCAACTGTATATAACTGCTCAACATATATATACCAATAAATTATGTTGAGCAAAAAAGTGATTGGACAGCCGTTTCATTGTTAATGCAACTCATTAGCATGAGGTTCATTACTGGCTTGCTATTGAGGCTTGTCGTTACTTGCAGAGCACAAACCAGGAACATTATGGTGATTAAAAACCCCTTCCACCTGAAGTTACTGGATGTAAATACATTGGTAAATACAGATCTGTATACACCAGGCAAGTCATATGGCTTGCTTTTTCCACAGAAATCTCCCATTTGCAGTGATGTTACCAGGCGGGCATATGCAAATGAGTTCAACAAAGAGTCACCTTTTTGCCTTATTATTCTACTTGAAACATGGTTTCCTTGGAGTTTATGTCTGCTGTATACAACATCTGTGAAACATAACTCAGGAAGAGGAGCAAAGCCAGATTACCGCTCATGGACAGCTGTTTCGTTGTTAATGCAACTTATCAGCATGAGGTTGGTTACTGGCTTGCTATGGAGGCTTGGTGTTACTTGTGGAGCACAAACCAAAAGTTATGATGGGGAAACTGCAACGGATTCTGGGTGGGCATATGCAAATGAGTTCAACAAAGAACCACTTCTTTGCCAGGTCTTGTGAGGAAGGCAATTTTTTGAGTGGAACAAAATGAGCCATTTTGGAAAAGTGATCAACCACCTCAAGGATGGTGGTAAAGCCATTAGAACTAGGAAGTTCTACGATGAAATCCATGGACAAATGGGACCATGGAACACTAGGTACATGACGTGGATGTAACAAACCACATGGAAGCACGGCCGTCTTTAAAGCGGGGCAAACGTGGTAGCTGCCCCGGGCCCACTTACTCCTGGGGGGGCCCAAAGCAGCTACCCCGTGGGCCCCGCTGTCCGCAAAAATAAATAAATGTATTTGCCCCCTGGGCCTGCCGGTGCTGCGGCTGCACCGGGAGCCCCCACACAAAGAGGCCCCCGGTCGGCACTTTGGCCCCCTTGTTTTACTGCAGCAGGCTGGGAGGAAGTGACTGCCGTGAGACACTTCCTCCCAGATAGAACGAAGCCGGATGGAGTAGGAGGCCGTCAGGAGGGAGCTGGAGTGCAGGAGCCTCTCACTCCCAACGACCTCAGCCTGCCGCTGGACCCCAGGGAACCCATAAGGTAGGGCTGGAGGGTGGCTTTATAAATGTAAACTTTGCATGTGTGTGTGTCAGTATTTGTGTGAGTCAGTATGTGTGTGTGTGTCTTGGCATGTGTGTGAGTTTGTCTGTCAGGGTGTCTGTGTGTGTCTTAGTATGTCTGTCTGTGTGTGTCAGTAAATCTGTGTGTGTATGTGTGTCTTAGTATGTCTGTCAGGGCTTATGTCTGTGCATGTCAGTTTGTCTGTCTGTACGTGTCAGTTTGTCTGTCTGTGCGTGTCAGTATGTCTGTCTGTGCGTGTCAGTTTGTCTGTGAGTGTGCATGTCAGTTTGTCTGTCACTGTGTCAGTATGCCTGTCAATGTG